GGCAGATATACTTTTGCAGATACCTACAATACGAGTGTGTTCGTTCACACGCAAAAGTCCCAAAAATACAAAAGGTTATAAAAAATTTTAATAAAATTTAATTTGCTACCTTTTTATTGATGCTCAGTTGACATTCACATTTTCATTCCACGTAATTATATAGCGTCGTTTGCGTACGTGTCCGAAAGGGTTGGCCGCAAATTGGAATTGGGGTCACTTTGCCTCGGTCAGCGTCTCCAACATTGTTGCTGTTGCTGATCGTCTTGTCCTGACTACTTGTCTGCCTGGCTGCCTGCCTGTCCGAGTGAGCATGCGCATGCGGTTCGCTCTTTGGTGTATAATTAGACCTGAAAGCATATTTGTCAAGTTGCATGCGGCTGCAGTTAAAATGCTGTTCGCATTGTTCGCATTGGTCCCAGATTCACAGGATGCGATATGTTAATGATAAAGAGCGTTTCACTGGGGCGCACTTAAATTGAGTAATTGTTTACTTTTTGCTGAATTCTCGTATTATACCTGCTACATTTACGTAACAATGTATGCAAAAATGGTTGCACACCAGTGACAGCAAATTAAAAAGTTCATATTTTATTATACTTATTAGAAATAATATAAAAATGTTATACAATAAGCAAGTGAATGCCAAGTTGACTCCTTATGTATGACCATAGCTCATGGGTTGCTTTCCCAGAATAGCTGAGATGATCTTATAGTTACTATTTAAGGAATATTTAACATTGAGCTAAGCTCAGTTTGAAGTCCAGCTCACCTCTTTAATGAACATAAAAGAAAACTCAAAGGCAAAATATGTTTTTAGACCATAAAGTTAAATTAGCCAAGCGGAATTACCCCTATTAATACTTGAAACATTTGATAGATTCACAATTTAAGTATTGGCATTATGCTTTATTGAGCCAATGTTAGGTACCTTTTCAAGTTTGTTGTCTAAGTCATTCGTTTTTACCTTATACGAATGCCAGACTTAAAAAAAAACGCCGCCATCCATCATGAAAATCAAAATTACATTCCCTGAACAACATCACAGCCAAAGCAAACAATTTTAATGTAAATATTTTAAGCGACTCGCACTGTATGTAAAGGCCAAGTTGCTGCGCTGGCGGGCACATAATGAGCTCTTTAACTTGGTTAACGATACCTCGGCTGCCGGGTCCTGTCAGCCAGTTAAAAATAGTGTGGCACTGTGTACTGACTGAAGCTTGACTCAAGTCAGTTTGGCTTTCAGTTTTTTCTAGCCTGTCCTCTTGTAATTTGTACGGGCGCCAAGAGGCTGGGTAAGCCAGCAAGAAAAGCAAAAAGCACAAAGTTGCAGTCGGCCAACAGGCAGCAGGCAACAAGCAACAAGCAAAACTTGTTGCCTGCTTTAATGCATCAATTAAATTTTTTAATTATTTTTGCTATGGCTTTTTGTTCCTGCTCCTGTCAGCTACATGCTGCGCTTTTTGCACAATTGCCCGGCCGAGCCATCTTTTCGAGCCACTCGTACGAGTCGAGTCGAGTCGAGTGGAGTATTTTTGAAAGCCGTCACTTGCCGTCACCGACGCGACGCGGCGGCTGCGGCAGCGGCGTGTGTTTATTGATATGTTTTCATTATTGAATTAGTTTTAACAAAAAGTGAAGTCAATTAAGTTAACAAGTTACTACAGAGATCAGCTCTGTCCTGCGCTATGGGAATAATCGCAATTATGCTGTTCATAAATGTTTTGAAGAGCAGACTCTGCAGCCAAAATAAAGAGGTCATCTCAATAATTTGACTAATCCAAATGAATCACCTTCAAAAACCTTCATAAAGGTCTTAAAAATTTACAAACTACGTAGCACATTAACGTCGTTTCTGTTTCTAATTAGGTTTTATAACATTTTTGATATACTGGGCGAACTTTTATTATCGGGCATAAATTAATAAACTTGTAAAACTGTTAAAGCATTTCCCTTGGCAAGTTCGTTGCCTAAGTCATTTGTATTTGACGAGAGCCAACAAAATGCTTAAGCCTGAGCCACGCAACAACGCATTTGACTCATTCACGCATCGTCTGACAAAATAATTGTAGAACAACAAATGTGCGCTGTAATAAAATAAAATTTGCTTTTGCTTGCAGACAACACAAACATAATTTCCTTTTTTGTTGTGTTTGTTTGTTGTAATCAACACCCGCCGCGCGCTGAGCTCAAGAAGCGCAGCCATTAAGTGTGCATGACATTAAATTAGCGCAGCAATCAAGCACTGTGGCTAACAACAACAGCAACAGCAGCAGCGACAACCCTTGAGATGGGGTATATAACACTATAAAACCTGTAATCAAATTAAAAGAACAACAGAAGCAACAAGTTGGCCCTAAAACTGTCAGAAGGTAGAAATCAAGCTTGGCCATTAGTTACAGCGCATGATTCTCATAATTCGAGTCTGTACGAAAAACTGTAACAGCAAAAAATTATGAAAATTCGGCCAAGACACAAAAATGAATGCTAAACGGTAAAAATAATAATAACTTAAGGCATCCACTTAATAAAATAAACAGGACACGCTCCTGTGACAGACAATAACTCACAAGCAACAAAACCTGACAACTTGTTATGCAACATTTGTGTGCGCTGTGCTTTACTCTGTCTCTCTATCTTACTATGGATGCATTAACTAAGTAAATCAGGTAGAAATGTTTTTAAATATATTGTATAATATAATACGTATATTATGCTTAAAAGAAAAATTATAAAAAAAGTATATAATTAATTAAAAATAATTTTCTTTGACAGATAATACAAACATTTCATTTTCAAATGAATTAATTACTATAAAAAAATTATGGAAAAATATTTTAATATTATAAATAATTTTCTTTGACTTATGCAAATAATACAAATATTTTTACTAATAATATTATAAGAATAAAAAACAATTTCATAATATAAATTATTATGAGTAAAAGCTGCAGTGTATCCCAGTCAGCATTTAGATCTACGCTCTTTTTTATCTGCTGCTGTTGTTGGGAACAGATGTGGCTTTTGTGGCATTGACTGTTGGCATCTTGGTCTTTTCAATATGACAATTCTTAATATTCTGATGCCGACTGCAAGTGGCTGCTGCAACTTTTTCTGCCGTCCAGTTGGCGACTACGCCAAAGACGGCAGACACTGTGAGCTCGACTGTCATAAAGCAGCACGTTTTAGCTACAGTTGGAGAATCTCAACAATTTTAAAAGTGTGCATTTATGCCAAGTGGCATCTGCGACGGCGTCGGGCATCGGGCGTCCGCGGCCTCGGCCTCGTCGTCAGTTGTTGTTTACCAGCTTCCTCCCTGCCGGCAGTGCGTTTATTAATTAGCAGCCATCCCCATTCCGACATACACACAGCGGCAAGAGCTGAGATTTAACTACAAGTGCAGCTGACAACAAACAGCGTAAGATGAACGCACACTTGTGCATTATTATTTCTTCAATTAAAACTCACAAACAGCATTTCAATCGCAACAGCCAGGAAAAAGAAACTTTTTTAAGGCCGGCAACAGGTTCGGCTCCTTGGCGACAGTTGTTACCGCTTTTGGCTTGTTTTGAACTTATGTCCGGCCAGTGGCTGCCGTCGATCGCTAATAAAGCAGTGAAAAGTGTATTATCTAATGTCAGCATTCATTTGACTAGCTGATGGATGTGGAACACTCTCACTTTGGCCAACCCAGTTTACAGTAAGAGTAAGTAATATAGCCAGCCGCCTGCTCGATCTTTAACCATAATTCCTTCTTTGCAGCTAATACCTCTTATAAAGGCAGCTGCTTCCGTGCTTGCAGACGCACCCATTCTTGGGATTTAATCCAGCGAAACTAATAAGCCACAAAATGCGGACTTAAATCCTTTTTTTTAGTTGTTGTTGTTCGCCCTTTGCTGGAAGCTGCTACCTTAATTTGAGGCCAAGATGCTCGCTCGATAAATCAGGACAATAACGTGGGCTACGCCCCGTGCGCACACATTGCGTGGCCACACCTTGAAAAATAAGCAAAAGGATTAAATTTTCTTTTTCTTTACAGCTACGAAGCAAGCCGGGATCAAGCCGAGATCCAAGTGCGTGCATACTCCTTCTTCTGCTTCATAATTGTTTGCAGGATCAAATCCTTTCCGCTGCCTACACACACATGGCCACAAAGAACACAACGGCAGACAAGACAGTCTGTTGTAAGGCAACGGCAAATCTTGAAGGTGTGTGCGTCGGCATGCAGCATCTTTCATTTCTCATCCCTTTACTTTTTTCCCTTCTAAAAAACACAATATGCTCTAATTCAGCTAACTCCAGCTCTAGACAGGGTCGAAATTCACGCGCGTATGCGCTACAATAATGTCGTGGAACTATCATCATCTTCGCTGGGGCACTTAAGCCAAAGCCAGAGAAGACGAGCCCAAACCCTCAAGGAACCGCCTGTGCAGGCCATCAGCTGGCTGCCAGCTCTCCAGCTCTCGATCTATTTTCGTGGCAGCTATTTTTCGGAAATTAAAATGTCTACTCCTACTATTTGTCTGCGCGCGTACCTACGGCTGCATTTTTTAGAGGGCAAACTCAAACTATCTATCACAGGCTGCTGTTCCCGTCTCTGACTCTGCTGCGATGATGAATGTGCGCGTTCGGCGTCTCTAATTCAATTTATTTCAGAAAAGACAAAGTCACCATTGGCGCACGGCTCTTAATGGATGTAAGGCTACTCACTCAGCGCATAGCCAGCTTTAAAGACGCTGAGCCCCAGCTGTCCTGTGAGGTTTCCTTCGATGCGTCAGATGTCCTTGTGAGCGCATAAATAGCGTGCAATGGTGCAGAAGAGGCTTCAGCTAAGGCTGATTTGCAGTTTAAAAGAAAAGAAACCTCTGGAAATCTTTTTTAGTTTCATGCTTTGCTATCCCAAGTTGAAAAAATCAAAATTTCCTTGTAAGGCATAAGATAAACTTCAATAAGATCTTTGCAACAAGAACTCAGCGACATTTAATTAAATTGAATTATGTGTTTAATTAGAATTGTCATGCATTTTTAACAATTTTCAAACTATTTTGAGGACTGTAAATGCCATTAGCTACGACAACGTCACATGTAAGGGCTTTGCTCCTTGGTTATGTTCTCGCACTGGAATTGTTAAAGTTAATCGAGTGTTGTGGCGTGCGTCGTTGGACTGGGCGCACGACTGGTAGCCGGACTGCTGCCAGGAGGCGTGGCATCTGGGCTGCGCCCCAGTGGCACAAGCAGCGGTCCCATGGGCCGGCGGGCTCGCGGTGCGCCCCGTGATCCACGGCTAACAGGCGTTGCGGTCTTGGAGCGCGGACGTCCCGGTCCTCGCTTGATCAACGAGGCAGTTGGCGTACCCATTGTGCCGGGAAGACCACTTAAAGTGGGATTTATATCTGCAAAAATAAAACAACATTCTATGAGTGATGACATAGCACGAGCTCCACGCGTAGCATTTGAATAATCGTTATTATTATGTAAATGAGAGTGACGGCTGTGCTTCCCATTAACAGGCGCAGGCAATGAAATGCCGAATGGGCCAAACGGCAACGGCAACATTGTCACTAATGCGCCTGGCGCTTGAGCCTGCACGTGCGGGCTGCATCCTGCCACATCCTCGTTTACGTTTCTGCCTACAAAGTTGCATACTTTTAAGCGCGCCAATTGCGGTAAATTTTCATTGCCCGCACAAGCCAAGCCAAGCCCTGGCTGTCTGGCTACAATGTCCTACAGCGAGCACACTTCATTGTGGTTCAGTGGCGTATTAAGGCAATGTTGCATGCATTTAAATGCCCTCGAATATTGCTTAAAAGAGCCGTTCTTATAACAGTATTTTGGGGTAATTTAATTAGTTGAGTGAATCTCTGCTATACTTAACGTGTTTTGCTCTTCATTTTGGCCATATCACAAATGCTTAAGTATAATAATTAAAAGCAAAAAAACTTTTTAAATTTCACTTACAAATTCGCTAACTTTGTATGTATTTTAATATATATTTCTTAGCTTTTTCCCCCCAGTTTTTTTATATCATATTTATATCATTTATATCAGCGAATACTGATTCCATTGCAGGGCATCTTAAGTTCGATCAAATAATGTTCTCTTCTGTAATTTGCGTTGCTGGTTTTAAATCCATTTTGCAGAAAGGGAGTTATTTTATATCACGTGTTGTCTGGCACAGCACACACACACATTTACACATTTCGGCTGTGCGTCTGAACGTTTAAGCCGATTTATGCAATTATCATTTGTCGTGTAAATTGAACATGTGCGCCAACGTGTTCTTAACTGAAAATTTGCAAAGAAGTTGCAAAAATGTTGACAAATCCCATTCAAATAGTTGGCTCGTTGCATAATTTTGTGGACTTAAAGTTGAGCAGCTGTTTGCTTAATTTGAAAGCCGCTGCTAATTGCTGTGAATGACTAGGAATATCGATTGAATGTGCCGAAACTAATCAGAATTTGTCCAACATTTCAAACGTGACTAGAAATCAATCCGAAGCATTACAAACTAGCTAATTGAATTGTTCGAATAACTAGAACTGAATACTGTAAAATGTGATAAGTTAAATAAGCCTGAATCAAAATGCTGAGCCACCTTGGATTTGGCAGATATATATACATTCAAAATTATTTAAATAAGCAAAAGTTATTTTTTACTTAGAAAACAGGAAACTAGCTACAGCAAAGACTCAATTACCCCAAAAGTACTTGAAATCAACGCTTCAATTATGAGCACTTAGCCACAGTATCAACTGCGTCTGTTTCTGGGGGCTGTTTCTGTTTGTACATCAGCGATAATGCAGCCAGATGCAAATCTCTGAACAAATATTTGGTCTGACTGCGTGAAGGGGCGAGAATGCAAGCCTTCGCGTGAAGGGGAGCAGCAAATGCCATTGAATCGGATGATAATATAATGGAAATGGTTTGGGTTGCGCCAAAATTGTCACGTACTACAAGTGAAGTCTTTTTCCCCTTGCCGAACAATGCGGGCAGCCAAAAACCGAGGAGTACTGAGGGGCAGCAACCACAAAGCGCCACTCAAGTGTGCCCAATTGTTACCAGAGATGCAGCGCTTACACACACGCATTGAAGTGTGTGCCCGTGCGTATGTTAAGAGGCAACACTAAACGTGATTATGTCGGCGATTAGCGACAAGTGACACTCGAATCCACGTAAACAGGGTAGCCTAGCAGGAAGCTGATCAATAAAAAAGCCGCTGGCTGCACTTACCTTCCTCGTGAGTTGACACGGTTGAGCCACTTGCAGGCTCGCCGCCGACGCTGCCTGCTTCCTGCTGTGGCAGCGGCGAGCTGGTCGTTCCAGTTGCCATCAGCGCTCCAACCGCTGGCGAGGTCGGCGTTGGCACGCGCTGCAGCGATCCATGGCCACCGCCGCGTCTCGTGCTGCCACGTGGTCGTCCGCGCTTCGTGCCACGCGGGTGGTGCCGCCGCCGCATCGACGACACGCTGTCAAAGTCGCCCAGGAAGTCTGCAAAGAGAATTATGGGTTTCATTGATTAATTGGGGTATTCTTAATGTTGCCTCAATTTATTTAGTTTCTTCCTCATTTTTTGCCCGGTTCCGGCCAAACAGCTGGCACACAACAACCACCAGTAAAACAAACAGAGCCAGACAAAAAACGAATTGCCGAAAATTTGTTACATTTTAATGGCATTATCAGAATTTATGCTACAAATATCCAGTTCGACGCCAATAATTATTTGGCCTCCACAAATTATATGCTGAAACTGTTTATCCATCTGAACAGTTGTTACTTTTAGAAGTACTACAAATTGGGAATATTATTTATGAGAACTTTTTATATAATTAAAATTAGCTCGATTATATAGATTAATTACTGCGTCTTTCTTGAACATATAATAAAGATCCTTTGCCAATCTTTGCTTGGCCAAAACCAAAGTCAGCTCTTCGGCTGATGCTTTGGCTTGCGCACACCACTTTCTCCTGCCAATCACCCACTCAGCTGTCTACAGAGATGCAAGAGCTGCCCACAGGTATTGTTTACGTTGACCATATTTGTATAAACGTGTTACATTTTCTAGCCAAAGCGCGATCAGAAATCTCAGCTCAAATCAAAACACTGGCAAGAACAGCAGGACAAGCAATGCGAATGGGAATATGAATTCGAATTCAAATGCGAATCTCAATGTGAAACTTGCATATATTATTTGTCTATTCCAGCTGTAAGAGCTTAGAGTGTACATTTATATATGTGCTTTTATGCTTGTCAAATTGTGAGAAAAGCATATTGGCTTTTATGTTTTCCTATCTTAAATTAGAAATTAAAAAATGTGCAGACTTTAAAATAATAGAAACTTATTTAAAATTCGATTTATAATACATCAGCTATTCGAAATATTTGGTTCTTCCTTTCTTACCATTTCACCTATATTTTCTCTAACTTCTTTTAAGCCCAGCAAACACGCTATGATCGAGTATGGCGCAGTCGTTTGTATTCAGCTGCAACATTCCTTCGATTTGATGTTTTGCTGTTTTTAATTTTATTTCGATTTTTGTTTGGCGATATTCCTTTTACTTTGCTTAACTCAAGCTAACTGTATATTGAATAAATAAAACAAAGTCAACAAAGAATCCAAGAGACGGGTCTTTGGTAGACAACTCTCAGCAGCAACTGATGATGACAACAATGTGCTTGTAGATTCTGTTGTTGTAACTCATGTTGTTGTCGCAGTGGCGACATTGCCTGGCGCTAGCTATTTTGGTATGCACCGCAAGTGCAGCAACATCATCGCATTTCACAATCCCCAATCAACTTCATCATCATCATCGTTGTCGTCTCCTCGTGGCCCAGTGCTGATCGACATAGACTCTTCAGTTGTGCGATCATCATAATCGTCAACAACATGGCCCGCACACAACAACAACAGCAACAAACAGCTGCAGTCGCTAGTCGTTTGGCCCCTTTGCGTGGTACCGTCTACAACTCTGTGGCTGTCAACTTGCAGCAATTTTTAATAAGAGACTCCAGCCCGATGCTACCAATGTTGTTGTTACACTTGCCCCGAAAATCGAGAACGAGTGCCAAATTATTGAATCGCCTGCCTGCCTACCTGACTGGCTTCTGTCCGTCCGCCTGTCTGCCTTGTGCCATAAGTTTTATCAATAATATTCAATACAAGAGGCAATCCTTTGCCATACACAACCCGTGAATTGGTTATATTATTTTGGCAATTCGTTTTCTTGATTGCCGTAGCTGTTGCTGATTCTTTTGCTTCAGCCACGTATTGCGGCCAAATGTCGCTTCGACTCGCGGCGTTGCAGTGAAAGACCGAAATTGTCCAAAGTTTCGCTTTTTACCATATTTAACGACATAGCGCGGAGAATAGAATGAAAAATATTGGCTTTTGCTTGAAGTTGGCAGCTAAGCGGCCTCTTCAGCAAGCACTCAATATATTAATATTAATGCATAAGCGATAAATAAATGGTATATATTTTACTGCCAAACCCAAATATGATACTAACGTGGTGAAACTCGTACAGCTTAATAAAGAAAAACTATTTTCTATCAAATCGTCCTAGGGAATGGTAATATAGATATCACGACGTAGATTAATTGTAGCTGTTATATTGTTTAGTGAAAGCATTAGCTATACTTAGTTATTCAATATGGCTTTAAGCTTAACAATAAGTTACTTCTCTCTCCTCTTTGTTGTAGTTATTTATAATAAACGCTTCTTTTTCTTTTCTAATTGAATATAATATGCAATTGTTTGCTTCTTAAGCAAGTTGATGCATTCATAAAGCCTATTCAGCAAGGGCAAGACAAGGCATCCAAACTGAAGGCAATAACGCAGCTTCACACACACACATACTTAACCATTCATTTATATAGGCGTGTGTGTGTGAGGAACAGCGCACATAATCGGATTTTACAAATCATTCATTCAATTATCTAATTGATTTGACTGATGATCATTTGTGAACCTTGATCCCAGCCGGGCCAGCCAAAGTCAATGTGACGCATGTTTGTTACGCTTGATAAACAGCAATTTGGAGCTGGCAGCCAGTCGGCGCATGAGGCTGAGCGGGCACAGAGGCTATTGCAGCACAATGCCATTCTTTGCGGCAGCTCACCTTTGACTGTAAGACTCTAATGCGCCTGCCATGACTAAGTGCGGTTTGGTCGCAGGAAGATCTGGGCGCTCGGATTACATTCGTGGCTCCGGCTCCACAAGCTGCTTCTGGAGCTACTGTTTAAGCCGTTAAGGATACAAATTGAAAGTTTTATCAGCGTGAAATTGTTAATTTTTTAGCGACTTTACTTTGCCAGCTTTGCACAATTGAAGATTATAAATGGCACTCATTAATGAAGAGCTGTAGTTAAAATTTCACTAACATTTTTATTGCCAGCCCAAGACTATGTACTAATGATTTACAACACTGAAATATTCCTAATTAATTCACATATAGAAATACTCGAACTCTGGTCTTGACACTGGTTTTGACAAGTAGATTAACCGTATTTGGTGCAATTTCCATCCACGAGGTGTGAATTTCTTGCGCTTCGGTGGTGGCACCTCCAGTGGCTCAGGAGTCTTTTTCGGAATGGGACAATGCGGCGGATTTGGCGGCTTTACGTGTGGCTTAGACAAACTAAGTATCCGTGGTGAGGGGCGTGCTTTGAGCGCTGCTGGACGCACTTTGAAGCGGAAACTGGCCCAAAAATCATCTTCCAATTCATTGTTGGAAAAAAAACACGGTATAAAAGGTGGCGGGAAAGGTCGTCCTTTGTCGTGATGAGCCGGCTTGCCCCACACAATGATTGGAGAGTAAGGATAGAATGGCTTTTCTGAATGGTACTTGGGGGTTGATTTACGTTCCAGTGGCTTTGACAGTTTCTCCATTTTTTCCACTAGAGCCTCCATTTCCATTTTGCGCGTCTCCCGGGCACAGGGCAAATATTTTGGAGCACACGGTATTGGCACCTCGACTATTGGAGGCTCCTTTGGCATCGCATTTCGTAACGCCCACTGAAAGAAATGTTTCCATTCTTTCTTTTTCATGGGTCCAGGCTTCTGCCAGCGCGTCACACACCGCTCCTCTCTGTGTAAGTGTCGTTTTATGGGGTGACTATTGCGCTCGCACCATGCAACCCATGAAGGTTCCGGTTTCTCCTCTTCCTCAAATCCACGTTTATCTGATACTTCACCTTCATCGTTGAAGCTCATTTTGAAAAATAGGTGTTAACAAAATAATACTTTTACTTTTGATTTTTTAATAATTTTTTTTTTTGCTGACAAGCAGATCTTTTTTGCTGAGGGGTTCTAGGCAAGTATGAAAAATTTCCCCAAAGAAATCGACGCAACGCTTGCTAGGCGAGAAAGCCAATGAAATAAGTCATTCCAGGTTCTGTCGACATAAATTGACATTTTCAACAACAAACTTTTTACTAGGATTGCTGTTTTGAAAATACAAATCGTCAAGCTACAGGCTAGACAAGTTCTATGAATACTGAATTTTATTTTTAAATATGAATGGAAAAGTTGTTTTGCCTCGAATATCATTGTAAGTTTCAACATTTAATTTTAAGCAACGGCTGTCAATATGCAGTGCTCAATGGAAAAGCGATTTGATAGGGCATTGAACGTTACAAGATGCAGTTCATTGCGCAACCAAATCGCTTGTCCATGCTCAACGCATTTCACAGCCATATAATTAAGAGAGAATTCCGAATTGCTTATAGTAGTTATATCTGCTGGACAGCTCGTCTAGGATGCGGGCATTTGGCTGGGATAGTGCTTTGAGGCGCATCTGATGGTCGCGCCATTGTTTCGCGGACATCTTGCGCTTAAGTATACGGTCTATGGGCTTCTCCGGCAGCGGGCAATGTAATTTGCGTGGATACGTACGCGGCTTGGCCAGCTCGACAATTTTCTTTGACGCCTTGGCCTTTAGGGCATTTGTCGATATTTTGAAATCAATATTCGACCAGAAATTAATTTTTAGAATCTCGTGCTGGAAGCAGCATGGCACTTTGGGCTTCTCAACCGGTCGGCCTGGCTCGGGTCTGGGTGGTGCGCGATTGCAGAGCTGCGGTCGATAAGGATATTCCCTTTTCGGTGGATTCACATGCTTTTTGCGCCTGACTTTCGGCTGACTGAGATTTGCAATGAAGTCGTGCGACTCCTCTTGCCTATGCCTATTGGCGTGCATTTTGGATGCGATATACATATAAAGAAGAGGCGAATGCGGTTGAAGATGCTCCTGTGTTAATTGTCTCTGTGTCGGCATCGGTTTGGGCTTTGGCGCCTTTTGAGGTGGTGCTGGACGCGCATTTCTTTCGGCCCATCGATGAAAATTAATCCATTGTTGTCGGTCCATTGGACCAGGCTTTTGCCAGCGGGTTGGTGGTTGCCGAATGGATGGAGCTACATGCATATTCTTGGGTCTCGCATTAACATCCACCCACTGCTGCCAACGTGCCCAACGGCTACTCATTTTACAGATCAAAAAATGTTGTGTCGTAGTGGGCCAAAAAAAAACTAAAATATTTATCGAAATAAAAACGACAATTTCAAAAAGTCTATACGAACTGCGCTCTGGACTCAATTTCATATTGTAAAAATACTAAAGCTTTATTTTCTCGTTAAAGCAATTAACGCAAGGATGGCTATAATTCGACGGAGCCAATGGATAACCCTGCCTATTGCAGATCTTAAGAGATTATTGTGGAAGTAGCTATGGAATAGGTCTTGAATCGATGTATGCTTAGCGAAGAATACAGAGAATATATTACAAATTTTATTATTTTTAGTTTTTGGCGTGCTGCTGCTGCTGCACTTCTTTATACAGCTCCAAAAAGTGGAAAGGAACATCTGCCTTTTCGTATCGAGGGTTGTATCATTAAGCAAATGTAGCGTAAAATTGCTTTTGTTTCCGCCGCCAGGGCTGGCCGATGGCATATGTGGTGTCAATTTCACACATGTTATGAGCACTCTGCGGTCGAGTACGAGTTACGGCCGCACTCAGATTGATGACTTTGACTTCAAACTGGCCAGGTTTGTCCTTAGAGGGACAGTGAGTTCCGGCTGTGGGCAAGCCAACAGGAAATGCTCAAGAAGGCAAAAAGTACGTTTAAGAACCTTAAGAATTATTAAGATTCTTTAAGCATTAAGACTGGCTAGTGCCACGAAAGCAAAAGCAAGCCTGGCAAGAAATGCAGACAAAAATCGTGGTATGACCAGGTTAGAAACTGGCGACAACAAATCATGACAACGGTAACCAACAAACAGCCGACAACAGCAGCAACAACAACAAGAACGACAACGCCGATGGCGACATGAAGGCAACGTTTGTTTGTTGCATTCTGCTAGTGGCGGCGGCGGCGGCGGCGGCGGCGATGCACATCATCAAATGCAACACGCGGCAGCCTGGATGATAATGAAGATGGGCGACAATGCCAGCAGGCCAGAAGACGAGCAGACAACGAACAAGAACTACGACAACGACCACGACAACGATAACGACGACGTTAGAAAGGTACTCGCTCGCACAATCACAAGGCAAAAAGTGCGATCAATTGCAATGCGCACCGAATTTCAATTGGGCATCGAGCGACCAAAGAGACCAACGCAGACTAGGAGAACGAACGGGCCAAAGCATCTGTAATGGATGGCCATGGCATTCGTACAACTACTATTGATGATCAAACGGCAACCAGTATGAGTGTACTACCGGTATCAGTGGCAGACCAGCTCGTTGACAGCGAGTCGGAGAATCGACGACAAAAGGAATTGGGTTATGACCTCGAATGCGTGTCGCCAACATGGATCTATGCTGCTCCATCCAATGCGATGCCGAGCGTCGTGATTGAGCCGTTTACATTGTGTTTAAATGTGGGCGCATAACAGCCGCGGAGCCTAGGCTCAAAGATTTATAAATGTCAGCGACAATTGTTTACTTTTACATAAAATCCAAACTATGGTAAGCTAGCAATGAAACATAAATTAGATATTCGCCATATAAAACAGGAAACTGTCTATAGCATTTCTATAAGACTGTACATCCTTTGGTCCTATATAGTTTTTTTTTTTTATTTTTGTATTAAGTATTTTGGTTTTGTTCATTCAGTCTTTTCGAAATTAAATTGAACAAAGCTTGTACTAAGTTTAAAATTAAAGAAATTGAATTGATTGCTTGTCAAGTCTAGAGTCTCTACTTAATTACTGATTAAATTCTCAATCATTAAACAGCTAAGCATTATTTCACAGCATGACAAAATTCACGAGTTGGAATTAAATTTGGTCGCATATTCACAGCCCACCAATTCCGAATCGAAATTCTTCTCAATTCGCAATTCATTTACGCTCGAGCATTATTCATTTATTAATTTATTTTTTCGTTTGCTTTTTGGCTTTTGGAATACTTCACATATAAATATGATTAACCAATTTAAGTCAAAACAACTTTAATTATAAAGTTTTAAATCAAATAGACAAGTGGCAACTGCAACTGCCAATCTGATCCGTGATCCATCTACACACACGTATTTACTCCCAGGTATTTATATAAACGAGTCTTAGCCGGCCTATGCTGGGGCTGGAGCTAAGTCTGGCCGGGCACGTACTCGCTCTGGGCGCTATGGGGGCCAATAAGGTGTAAATTTATGCGCCAGCGTCAGTTGAGACAATCAGCCAACAACAATAACAAATTTAGCAAGCATACCGAACAGCCATTAGACAACGAGCCTATGCAATTTATTGTTAATTCTTATAAAAGCTCAACGAAACGCACATTTTTCGTATGCCTTCTGATTGGCATTTCAGTTGTTTCTCTTTATATGCACTGGCAAAAATTAAAAACATTTTGTCATTAAGCCTGCAATGCATAGACTGAAAATTTTAATATATAATAAATCCATGTAATTTTCAAATTTCAATGAAGGTACTTGAAATATAGATATATCTGCGAGCTAAGTCTTACAGATTACCATATGACTGGTTGAAAATTATGATATCATTCAAATTTATTCTATAGAGTAACAGGGTAATCAGGACAATTTTTTATGATACTATATACTAGACTATACTTATATACAAGTATTTAAAATAAAAATTCACCTGAATTCTCCTAAGAAATCTATCAAATCAAACTTTTATATATATACAACTTCAATGTAAGCTATTTTAGTCTATGACTAAAATAAGAACACCTTTATAAGTGTATTTAATCTTCGGCCTGGTGTTCTTTCCAGCTTTGATTTATATTTATTTTTTATTTTTTTCACATGCAATCGAAGCGCATTTTGTAATTATTTGTAAGCTGTGTGAATTTTTGTGGCCAATCAGCGTTTTTGTTCGCAGTTTTGATTTGCTGACAAGATTTCAGCGTAATTGTATCTCATGGCTAACGTGTATTCTATGAGATACTTTTTTCGTCATTTTCTGTTGCAGTTTATTGTTGGTGTTGTCATGTTCTTTGGGAGTTTTGCACCTTGTTTACAACTGTTTCTTTAATTATTTGTATGTCTCACAAGCAGCGCTGACAAAGTGGACAAGGATCTATGATAAATCTAATGAATAATGAATACGGGCGTTGGCACATTTTTCGAATGGGCGTAGCTCAACGCCAACAAGCAAAGTATCTGTATCTATATCTGTGCGTTAGCGGCTAACTCTTTGAGAAAGTATCTTTCGCAACTGAATCAAGTACAATTGGCACGCGTCTATTTGTTAAACGAAATGAAAAGCAATTAAAAAATTGTTTTCCCAACTTTATTATACAACAGCAGCATTTAAGTGGAATTGCAATTTGAATGCCTTGCACGATACAGCATCTGCAGCTAACCAACTAGCCGACCGGATGATTTGTTGACTGCCTACTGTATTGTAAAATTAACCCACATTTCTAGTGTTGTTGCCGGAAAAATGGAAAAAATTGTTTACAGTCAACAGCCAACAGCCAACGGGCAACGGGCAACGGCTGCAAATGGCATAAAAAATCCTGCTGCATAAAATTAAATGTGCTAAGATAGAGGAAAACGAAACGCTGATGAATCCCTTGTTATGGATCGCATCAAGTGCCTGTCATGGAATGCAGTCGAGTAAAACATACTCGTAAAGCAAATGTTTCAACTTTTAAGTAGTGTCGAGTGCGTGAGGCACGCGTAATTGACGGAACTCGCGCTTAAGGTTGGGCACCAGGCAAAAGGAAGTCGTTTAATTATATGAATTCTCCTATAATTAGTAAACTGACTCTGACCACTTGAATTACAAATAATTGAAAGAAATACTTCATAAATTGGCCATGTCATTTGCAATTAGCAAAAAAAGGATTTAGTTTAGTTTAAGACATTCTAGGGGTTTTTTATGTGGTTAATCTACATCTGAATAAATATTAAAAAATCAATATTTTATATATGTACAAAAATAATAATTAACTATTTAACAAACACATACACAACAGTCAAACTACATTTATTTCTTCACATTTCATTTACCTTGATCTAAAAGTAGATTTTATTTGAAGACATTGTAAAATTTCAATTAAGTATTAAACGAAAACAAATGTGTTTGAAAAGATTAAATACTCTACGCTGGCCCTTACTCAATCATCTAAAAGAAAATTAATTTTCCCAGCAATTTCGACTCGATATATGGGTGATAGGTTGTATTTTTGGTTTTGTTTTGTTTTGTTATTTTATTAGTTGTCAACGAGCTGATCAAAGAAGATTTAAGTGCTCACAATATTTAAATTTAAACAACGACAAATCCGTTCGTTGATTTCGGCTGTCATGTCAGTCTCTCATTATGGCCCCATAATAAACAGCAAATAAACGTCTAGAAAAATTACGAAATCAAAAAATAGCTTGAAACTGCAAATGTGGCTACAATTTATGTAGCCACAACACGTGAATCCATTGATTAAATTAGATGTTTTCATTTGCCAAGCCCTGCAGCGCCACAAGCGAAAACCAAAGAAATGGCATATAAAAAATATTTATGAGCGCCTCGTTTTTTTTGTTTTTTTTTTGTGGCATTTTAATGCATAACCCAAGCCAAACAACCAACTGTCAAATCAATAGGCCGAAACACACAAACAGCCAACAACTTTGCGACTGCCTAACTGGCTGGCTGGCTGACTGACTGACAAGCGAGCTCCATTGGGGAACATAATCAACTGGCAGTAACAATTTCCAGGCAACTAGTGATATTAAATTGGGTTGCGTACGTGGCCAACAAACGGTGGCCAATACAAATGACAACGTTATCAACGACAGTTAGTAAAGAAAAACAATACCAGCAGCAATGCTATGACTGCTCGAATTGGGTATGCCCTGTACACAGGTACAAGGCATATATAAATAGTACCAATAAATAATTTATATATTGTATATTACGACCAATCTTTCCCGCCATTGCTTAAAACAGATTTCTTTAAAATACTGATCATATTCTTAATACAAATTCCGTTATTAAAAGAATTGCCAGCAACAAGTCTCGTCTGATATGTACTTCTTTGGGGCTTACTCAAAATACTAGCTTTTTATAATAGTATATCACAACATGCACTCTAAGCTCAACTACAGGGAATAACAATGCTGCCAATAGGCCAAGTTAGTTACGTTTGCTGCAGCAACTTCGGCCCATCTGTGAGACAGTTAACCAGCCACAGAGTTAGCCAAGCCTGGCAAATGGCCAAGCTGCCAGCAGACAGGTTACATTTCGCATGTTGCTGTTTTTGAGCAAATTTGACTTTAACAACGGGCTGAGAAACTGTTGGCGTTGCACTTGTCGCGATTGAGCATCAGTTTGTTGCCTGTCGCATCGCGTTGCCTACTTTTCAACGTCTTGTACTTTCGATTTGTTAATTGTTAAACAAATTTCAAATTAAGCAACATTTGCTGCGAATGCAAATCGAATGCATGCGTTTCAGCTGTTCAGCTGTTTAGCTGTTCAGCTTTTCAGTTTTTAGGCCGGCTAACAAGCTGCAATCATGGATTTATGTTGTTGCCGCTGTTGCACATCCCACATATAATATGCAACTCAAAACAACAAACAAACAGGCCAAGTGGCTTAAGCCAACTTGTTCAGCTGGTAGACCGCATTCTGCGATGCATATGTCTCGCTCTGTGCGCCTAACCAATCGCTCGCTATTGCCAAATAATTTGAATTATTAATTATAAAGTGATTGGAGTATTTTAAGAATTTGAACAAATGATGCAATACGAATAGACAGCGAAAACTTCATGAGGGAGTCTAGTGTGAAAAGGTTTATAGTTTATATATCAATGGGTCGGCACTGATTACGTAATCCATGGATATTAATGGAACTGACATTCGTACGAAGAGCTCAATCATTTATTATCAGTTTCAGTCAATGAATATATTATATCTCTTTATTTGTATTAAAAATGATAAAAAATATAGTGTTTTTATAGTACTTACTCATGGAATCAGTTTGAGACATCGCCGATGGACAATCGCCATCCACAACCAAAGCCTCAGTATCGGAATCGTTGGCAGGTTGGGACTGCTGATGTTTTTGTTGTTGTTGCTGCTGATGTCGCACTCGCGTCGCACCTGGAACATAAGTCTCTTGGCTGAGTATTTGGTTGTTGTTATCTGTGCCGCCACTGGATGTGGAAGAAGCCATGCCCACATCAATGCTATCGTCTAACTCCTGTTTAATGCGCTTGGCAGCTGTGCTGCATTGCGCTCCATCGACTTCAGTTGCCGGAATCGTAATACCTCCCAAATTAGTCTCCTAAAATAAATATAATAAAAATGTGTTTCATTATTGATGTAACAATAAAAACGATTAGCATTTTTATGAGCAACGGAAATAAGATAACAACGCATATCGTCTCGTTATCTATTCGTTTCGTTGCGGTCCACCCTAACTAACCGATCTACAAAATGTTTCACTTATAATTTATGCCAGTCCCTGTTCTTGTTCTTGTTCTTCTTTCTCGTCTTCGCTTCAGTTGTGTAGCATTAAAATAATTCATGCCACACTGAGACTTGAGTTATTACTTAGCATTCGAGGGCCGGTCAGCTCCAAAGTAGGACGCCTTTAGAAGACCTAAGCAACCATGCTTCAGGAACTGGGCACTAGGGTAGGAGTCAAGTAATTTGCATAGAATTTGCAAAGATTTCGACGGCCATTAAATAGATAGGCAGCACAGTAGCAGATTTTATTTAAAGTAGGATTAAAGAAGCTTGAAAGGTAACAAGTTTAATTTGACTGTGTCTGGACTTATTTTGGTTACGTTATAGATACTTGGACTACTGGTTTTTAATATGTAGATTGAAGGCATATAATAATTTAATTTATATAATAATCACCAAATAATCGCACACTATTATTTTCCACGTGGTTTCCCAAATAGATCAATATTTAATAACAACCCACTTAAACCAATGGAGCATGTACTTGTGCCTACTAACCAGAGTAAATGTCAGACTCAAATACCGTTGCAAGCATAATAAATTATCAGACATAAATGTGCCGCAATCTGTTCCAAATGAATCGCTTGGCTTTGCTCTATGTCTCAATGATACCTAACCTCAAACTTGAGCATTTTCAATACTAGAAACTGAAACTTGAACTTCTCCATTGACAGCGCAAACGATGTGGTTGCAGCAGAATGAAGCAGCAAAAGAAAAAGATGGCTGCGTGCCATTAAAAGTGCTTATATGCCGAGTGTATGCACTATGGTGGTATATGAACTTGAGTGCCCGCTGCCGTGCCCCCACACTATCGGAGCAAGCAGCGAGACTTTAAGTAGGAGAGCTACGAGTAGAACTAACCAAAAACGGAGAGAGCAACGAAAAGACAAAGAGGCAACAGACCATAATCAGTGTTCCATTGAACGCACAAAATCATTTAGCGAAACCAAAACGAAAAGAGTCGAACAGCACCCCACCAAAGCCCACCAAAGCCCACAAGGCAGCAAGGCACAAGGCACTTGAAACTGTTTTTCAAGACTTCGAAGACAGCCAGACCCAAGTTGGTTACAGCAAAGTGTTTGCTTTATATGTATATATGGTCGTAGGGAACACAACACTTGGATGAATGAATATAGGCAGCGGCAGCAGCAACAGCAGCAGCGGTAGATCCACTACGTATATGCCCAAAGCTGGCAGCAAGTTCAAAGCACGCTACGTAACAGACCAAGACAAGCTCAACGATGAGTTGAGTCTTGTAGCAAATTGAATTGTCGTTGTTGCTGCTGCTTCTGCTGCTGCTGTTGTTGTTGTTGTTGTTGTTGTTGCATGAATCACGTGACCATGACCACCATACAGTGCCCAAGTAAGAACAACAAAAGAGCCAGACTCAAAGCTGTCTCACTTAACCCCTTCCCATCCAACACTGTTGCAGCTGTATATGGCCGAGACGCAATTTGAACTTCACTTAAAAGATCATTTACTTTCATTGAGACTGGGAAACTTGTCGCTGCGTGTAACAAGTGTAAATTTGGTCTAATAACTGGCCATTAACAGCAAAGTTGGATCATGCGTAAAAGAACAATTGAAGTGCACGATTTCTGCCTTAGCTTAAGAGAAAGCCCGACTTTCCAGCTGAGCTCTTTCAATTTACGCATGTCGATCTGTATAGCTCTTTTTCTCTCTTTCTACTAATTTTTGTTTTAATTAAGCAATTAGCGGTTGTTCTCTTTTGGTGTGTTTACTCACCTTATTTGGCCGGCGTCGCTTACGTTCATTTGCAGTTGCAGCAGCAGCTGCCGCTGCTGTTGTGGCTGTAGATTTTGGTGTTGTGATAGGCGAGGAGGAGGACGGTATCTCTTCTTTAACCTGCAGCTTGGCTTCTTGGCGATCTATAGTAGAGAAATAGGTAAATCAGTATTTAAACTAAACTTTATAACAGGAATTCTAACTCTTTGTAAACCTTGAGCCGAATCTCTGTACAAATTAATTAAACACTATTTATCTAAGAACGCACTGCCCCTTTCATTGTACTATTAAGTCTTAGATTTAAGTTCTTTATATATTTAAATTGATTAATTCCCCCAACCACTTAATTAAATCTACCCACGCACTACTTACATTTCATTTCGATTTCCTCGTCATCCAAGAGCAATGAGACGACTTCTTTGGGCTTGAGAGTGTCGGGTTTGAAATTGCCGCCACTTATAACCATGCGTTGTATCTGAAAATAATGGAATATAATTATTTAGAAATAATATGCATAAATATGCCGAAAATATGAAAAGAGCAGCGGCTCAGGAAATGAAATGAAACACGTAGAATTGAGTAGCGCCTGGGGCTGCGCCGAGACTTACTTAGCTTCCGTTCTGGCGGCCTAAGCACTTTAATATGATAATCAGGAGTGGAGCAATTAAACTAATAAATGCAGAGCTCCAGCACAGAATAGAAATAAAGAAAAACATACCCTGAATGGGCTGGTTTTATGGAGAATTTAAAGGCGTAACCGAAATGTCGCCTAACCAATTGTATAATTAATTTCCGGTATCGGTTTACCCGAGCCTTTATAGCTGCCCCAACAATGCACATCGTGTACAAGTGTTTCATGCGTGCGGCTCGAGTTTCATTCAAACATTTTGAATAAGGCGCAACAATGCCCCATGCAACATCAAATCAAGTAGGGGGAAGAAGTGCACGCACGTGCCTAATATATGACAGACGAAAGCAGAAACTCCAAGCGGTTTGTTTTTGTTCGGTTTTCTGAATAGGGTTTTGCGGTTTCCTGGGACCTCGTGGTTTTCTTACCTCGCTCTTCTCGCGTGCCCGTTGCAGAATTCGCTCCTCGATGGTGCCTTTGCAGATGAGCCGATAGACGGTCACCTGTTTGGTCTGGCCCAGGCGATGCGCTCGATCCATGGCCTGTTGGTCAACGGTGGGGTTCCAATCTGAATCGTAGAAGATAACCTGCAAGGGACAGAGACAACAGTCAGTAAAAAAGTTAAAGGAATTGAGAGAAGAATACATTCTGCCTCAGCAAAGCTTTTGGGCACAAAAAACATATGTACTACAGTTGACATTCTTAGATCTTGCAATACTTCAAATCTGTTTATAAACAAAGTCTTCTGTCAAAATCGATATATATCGATAATTATCTAATGAATATGCTAATGAGAAATAAACACGCACATCCTTTCGCTATCCTTTTGATAAGTCGCATTTGTCTGCGTTGCATATTAATTTCATCGACGTCTATTCAATAATCCACGATCTCTGTACCTTTCCTGTTTTCGGCAACCTTCTATTAGGAAGGGACTCCACTCTTTATTTTGGACGTGTGCAGAGTGCAAGTGTGCAGCGCCTCGGCAAAAGGGTTGCTTTTCAAATCCAACATCCGGCAGTGAAGAAACTAATTATATTGAATTGAGTTTAGAACACGTGTAGTGTGCTCTTAAATTTCAGATATAGCCGCCCTTTTTTCTAAGATAAAGTCCATTTCCGCTTTATAGACAGTCTCTGCATTTGATGTGAATAGCGGACCAAAGCAAATTATAACTACAGACGAAAAGTTGTCTATCTGAATACCTATCCGACAGAATTTCAAGCAGTTCTTTTAAGAACTGCAGCAAATGCATAACTTTTTACATGCTGCCTTAGAAATGCCCCGATTTGCTGAACTGAACACCGCACGATATTTAGCTTAGCATGGTTAAGTCAACCAGTTGAAAAAAATGTGTTAATATTATTTAAAACTTCTTGTACGATTTATTTTACGTAGATAATAGCTTGATTAGGTACGCGATACTAATTGCTTCTGAACAGGTATTAATAGTGCCTGAATTTCAGTTCCGATTCTGTAGAAGGCGAAGGCGAAGGCCGTCCATTGCCGTAAGTAGAAATCGAATAGTTTCTATTGAGTTGCCTGTGCTTCTCTATGTATTTTAGAGATTTGTCCAACGAGAACATGAAATTTTTGCATGTGAAACAAGCCTTGGCACATAGAAGTCTTCATATGAAGGCTTAAGTGACTGCAAAGTCAAAATTGTCGGTGGTTCCTATTCTTTTTTTCTGTGATATCCGCCCAATTTTCCGCCCACTTACAGAGCCATACGTAAGTGTGGGTATAATGGTTATCAAAATAGTTCGGGACACATTGAAGGCGCCTGCCATGAGATCATGGCCGAAAATTCCGATCTTGTTGGATTTAGCAAGTATTTATGAAATAAATTTGAAGAGGACAATTCCAAATGAAACAACTTCAGCTACAGTGCTTTGATCGACTCATATTCAAATCCAATATATACAAACGAGATTAGTTAGTATTTCTAAGTTTTAGTGAAAAATGTATTTTCTAACATGGGCTTAAAATATTACAGGCCGTCAATGGACATATCAGACATGTAATGAATACGGTTGGTTTCAACATCAGGCTCTGTCAATCAACCATTTGGCACAAAGTTTCCTTTAGCCCTATTTACAACCATGTGTGCTGATGTTTTTGGTTCACAGTTTAGCAATTCATTCATCGAAATCCGTGTGGCTGAAACAAATGCAAACAATGTTTACTTCACCTATGGCCAGTTGGATCCTTGGCGGGCAATGGGTATTCAGGATGCAAAGCAGGCGACCATCATACCAAGTGAGCTAACTAAATAAAACTGTTAACGAGGTAATTATGGGTAACAATTTGTATGCACAGGATCTGCGCATTGCAAGGACCTTGATTCGATCCGCCCAAATGATATCGCCGAAATGCGAGCATCAAAAGAACGAACTGCAGCACTAGTCCGTGAATGGCTTAGATAAAATTTGTAATAAATTCGTTTCTTCTTTCAATTTGAGCATTACATGAAACCAATATTTTGTATAACAATATTTCCGAAAATACTACAAGGGAGATTAGGGAACATATAAATGATTTTTTATACGCAAAATTATGATCTTTATATCCATTGCAATCAACTGACTGTGATGTCAATAATAATTAATAAGAGCGTACAACATACTTAGGCTGATTGATAACAATTATATTATTGGTAGCAAAATCTTCAAGTGAACAGAAAAACAAGTAAGAAAGCTCTAGTCGGGGTGCCCGACTAGGAGATACCCTGATCCCAGTCCTTTGAGTTTTGTAATATTTTCCGTAGTTTGTATCGAGTATTAAAAAAAAAAAAAGAAAAAAAATAAAAATCGACTTTGCGAGACCCGGATTCGAACCCGGATTATTTGCGCAACGTGCACAAACACTACAAACACCGCCACTTCATAACTAAAAATAAAACAATAAAAAACATTTCATCTCCACTGGACTCGAACCCGGACCAAGCTGCATGCGAGCGGCGCCTCTACCAACGCAGCCGCTGTCCTTCTTATTCGATCTGCTGCAAATTTGAACATAAGTAGCAGCTAATATTCAGCTTTAATTCAATCGCAATTTCAATTCTTGGAATAGAAAAGAATTCACGCATTTGAATGTATGTGTGCACACGCATAGGAAAAATGCGTGCGCGTGGCGCTGCTGACATGTGCTTTTGCAAATTGGCCAAACGTTTTGTTTAATAACTTCTGTTTTACTTAATGGATTTTAATGAAATTTTCAGCATATGATCTACATATCCTATTGGCTTGGTTGAGATGCAAACGCCTTCACATAATGGCCCTAGTTCCAACTTAACTTAAATTCTAAGAATTTGGGGGAATTTGGAGCCGGTATCCAAAATCCAACAAAAATCAAAATTGCATAAAATATACATAAGACTAAATACAAAATTTGGAGGCTCTAGCTCTTAAGACGTTCGAGATATAATTTATTTACTGCATTTCAATAATGTTTTTATTCGATAACAATTAAATGCGAATAGTTATCGAATATTTGAAATAAACTTGACCTGCGCGTGCTATACACGGACCTACAAAAAAAATTTCAAGTCTCTAGCTCTTATAGATGCTGAGATCCACGCGTTCACACATACGGACAGACGGACAGACGGACAGACGGACAGACGGACAGACGGACAGACAGACAGACGGACAGGGCTCAATCGACTCGGCTTGTCGTCCTGATCAAGAATATATATACTTTATGGGGTCTGCCACGCCTCCTTCTGCCTGTTACATACATTTGCACAAAACCATTATACCCTGATTTCCCATTTTTAATGGGATCAGGGTATAAAAATACGCTCGACAGCGACTGAGAATGTATTTACTTGAAGAACTGATAAGCCTATGTATAGTACTCAGTCTATTAAGTTTTTAAATCAATGATTAAAAAATAGTTGTGTTAGTGTTATTTATGATTTCTTGAAAGATATTGCCCTAATTAAGTGTCCGATAAGAATGACCGTTTAACTAAGCAACAAGTATTAGCAGTAATCGAATGGTGCCTTCGCCTCAGTAGAAGTTAAATCTACAACGATGACACACTACGTAGTCGGAGTAACTGTTGCGCTGCTGGCATTGGGCTTAGCTCAGGCTAATGAAAGTATATTTGGGCACACATTTAAGCAGCTGCACAGCCAACCTCCTGTTTCGGCAAATCAAAATAGAGCGGACGAGGTGCAAACATTATGGATCGAACAGAAGTTGGATCACTTTAATATAGCCGAGACTCGAACCTGGCAAATGGTATGCGTCAGCTATTATGTAATTTGCGATTGATTATTTTTACTCATAAATTGTTTCATTCAGCGATACATGTTGAACGATGTATTCTTCAAAGCCGGTGCGCCAATGTTTATATTCCTGGGAGGAGAGTGGGAAATAGACAGGGGATTTATAACAGCCGGTCACATGTACGACATGGCCAAAGAGCACAATGGACTTCTGGTCTATACTGAACATCGATACTACGGCGAAAGCCATCCGTTGCCGTAAGTAGTACTCGAATAGTTTCTTTTTAATTTTTAATTGAATCTCCATGTATTTTAGAGATTTGTCCAACGAGAACATGAAGTTTTTGAATGTGAAACAAGCCTTGGCCGATCTGGCGCATTTCATAACCACACAAAAGTCTTCATATGAGGGCTTAAGTGATTCCAAAGTCATAATTGTCGGTGGCTCCTACTCTGCTACGATGGTTACTTGGTTCAAGAAATTATACCCCGATCTGGTTGTTGGTGGCTGGGCGTCCAGTGCACCACTCATTGCCAAAGTCAACTTTTTCGGTAAGTTGGACTCTCTGAAAGCGATTAAAGGATCACTTAGAACATTTCGTTTCACTGTTTTCTTAGAATACAAAGAGGTTATGGGTCAATCTATAACTTTAATGGGGGGCTCTGCCTGCTACAACCGTATTGAGAAAGGTATTGCTGAAATTGAAGCGATGTTCGCCAGCAAACGCGGAGGCGAGGTCAAGGCTCTGCTCAAGATCTGCGAACCTTTTGACGTATTTAGCGATTTGGACATATGGACGCTGTTTAACGAGATTTCTGAAGTATTTGCCAACGTTGTACAGGGACACTAGTGAGCAAATGTCATAGTGGAGACGAAAGAAGGGCATTAATAGTTATGTATATTATAGTGCTGGACGTATTGAAGGCGTCTGCCAGAAAATAATGGCTGAAAGTTCTGATCTTATTGGCGTCAGCAGCTACCTTCTCAGCGAATTCGAGAAAGCCAGTGGCAAGCGTTGCAACGATTTAAGCTACGATGCCATCATGAGCGAACTTTTGGAGTCAAGGTACAAGAACAATATGAGTAAGTCGAATGATTCAATGCGACATATACAATTTATTTACTAATGAGTTGCTTGTGGCAGTGCGTCAGTGGATATACCAGACATGTAACGAGTATGGCTGGTATCAGACCTCAAGCTCCGCCGCTCAACCATTTGGCACCAAGTTTCCATTAGCCCTGTTCACAACCATGTGCGCTGATCTCTTTGGCTCCCAGTTTGGCAATTCATTCATCGAAAGCCGTGTGGCTGAAACGAATGCATACTTTGGTGGCCTCTCGCCGAAAGTGGAGAATGTATATTTGACCCACGGCCAGTTGGATCCCTGGCGTGCAATGGGTATTCAGGATGTAAAGCAGGCAACAATCATACCAGGTGAGCTAACTTATGAAGGTATATTTAAAAGTGTCTAAGCTGATTATCAATTTACAGAACATGCGCACTGCAAAGACTTTGGATCGATTAGTGCCGATGATACGGCCGAAATGCGTGCTTCAAAAGAACGAATTGCCGAATTGGTTCGGGAATGGCTAAAATAGAAGTGTGGATTCAGTCAAGCCATAACAACAACAAAGTAGTTACGTTTACTAGAAATATGTGTTACAAATGCAATAAATTATAGTGTGCAACTACAAGTTTAAAACCGATTATTTGACTAGATGGAACTGGCAGATCGTAGTTAAGATTTTGCTACGGTTACGTATGCACGGCCAACCAATGGAATCTATGTTGAAATCTAGAAACATTATTAGAAATCAATGGACGCCATAAATTCGCGATAAGGTTCAGGTTGTTGGAAATCCCGTCTCTTTTTAAATGCCACTTCGTACTTTTATCAGTTGTCCTCTATCTCGATAGCAAATTTATAAAAGCTCGACTATAATTGGATTGCATAAAAGCAGAGCGTTGGTCATTTGAGAATATCATTTGGCAACATGCTGTTCCTGCGGTTGGTCAGCGTAGCGCTAGTGGCTTTGGCTAGTCAGGCAAATAGCGTCGAGGGAAAGAAAGATGTGCCCGTATTCGTAAAAACCTTAAAAGGCATGAATCGTGGTCCTCCCTTGAGGATGGTTACGCGAGAATTGACAGGGGAAGAAAAATGGATTACGCAACCACTGGATCATTTCGATGAAACCAATACGGAAACCTTCGAAATGGTATGACTGAGTAGAAAATCTAATATATATACACATATTTTTTATCAGCGATTTATCTTTGATTCAGCGTTACTTTATTAATGACGAATTCCAAACGGAAGGCAGTCCAATATTCATATTTTTGGGCGGCGAATCGACGGCCTCCCGACACTTCATAAGCATGGGTCATTGGTATGACATGGCCAAGGAGCACAAAGGGGTACTCATCCAAACTGAGCATCGTTACTATGGAAGAAGTGTGCCCACTCAGTAAATATAATCTCGATATATTACATAATCGGAATAATATATATATATATATATAAACAGGACAATGTCGTTGGAAGACTTGAAATATTTGCATGTCAAGCAGGCGCTCGCTGATGTGGCTAATTTCATTGAAACTTTCAAGTCGCAGAATGAACAGCTGAGCAAATCGAAGGTGGTACTAGCCGGTGGCTCCTACTCGGCCACAATGGCAGTTTGGTTCAAGCGACTCTATCCCGATTTGGTGGTAGGTTCCTGGGCCTCCAGTGCACCGTTGTTCGCCAAAGTAGACTTCTACGAGTACAAGGAGGTAGTCGGCAGAGCGTTTCGTGAGCTGGGAGGAGAGAAATGCTACAATCGTATACAGAAGGGCATAGCCGATCTGGAGGCCATGTTTGAGAGTAAACGTGCCGCTGAAGCACTTGCCATGCTGCGTATTTGCAGCAATTTTGATCATGAAAGCGATCTGGATTTGTGGAATTTGTTCGGCAGCATTTCCAATGTCTTTTCTAGCGTAGCGCAGTATCAAAGGTGGGTGATGCATATGATAAAAAGTGTTTAAATGCTATGTTTAAATCATTTAATGCAGCACGGGGGACATCGAGTATTATTGCGACTATATTCTGAGCTGGAACGACGATGCCACAGCTATTGCCAATTTTGTTTATTGGGCTTGGGACTATCCAACTTGCATTGATGCACGCTACCAAGAAACCGTCGACTATTTACTGGAGGGAATTACCTACTTCGACTCGTGTAAGTTATTTAGGTGCTAATCAATGTGCTTTGTCTGATTAGATCATTTTGTGTTTGATAGCTCGACCTTGGTATTATCAGACCTGTAACGAGTACGGCTGGTATCAGTCGTCCCGTTCATCCAATCAGCCCTTTGGTAGCAACTTTCCCGCCACTTTCTACATTGAACTGTGCAAAGATGTCTTTAGCTCCGATTACGGCAACGACAAGATCCAAGCAAACACCGCTCAGACTAATAAGGATTTTGGAGGACTCAGCCCAAACGTTGAAAACGTCTATATGACACACGGAGATCTGGATCCATGGAATGCCATAGGTCAAGGTGTGTCCGAGGGTGCCACGGTCATTCCGAAGAGCTCGCACTGTACTGACTTCGATTCAATCAGCTCCAGCGACAGCGTCGAAATGCGCGCTTCCAAGGAGCGTATTGCTGAACTTATACGCCAATGGTTGGCATAACTTTAGAAATAATATTGCCAATGTGTTAACACAAAATTAAACTATTTTAATAAATATTACTAATGCAAGTTACATTTTCTCTGAGACCTGGAAGTTGTCCTGCAGTCAAACTTAACGGTCATGCTATACCTGTTAGTGAATCGGTAAAATATCTAGGTGTTCATCTTAGAAGCAGAACATCAAATCGAAAGAAGAGCAGCTCATGTATTGGCTGTTAGGACCACGTTCTGAACTTAGTCTTGAGAACAAATTAAGGCTATATAAGGCCGTACTGAAACCAGTATGGATATTAAAGAGTTATAACTCGAAAGGAACGACAACGAAAGCTAGCTCTGCTTGCAAAATTTGGTCTATTTGCACTGCATACTTTCAGGATTGTTTTTACTTGAAATCAATCAGTTCTAAATTGATAACCTAATATCAATAACAGCACAAATAATGTGCTACAAATTTTGAAACATTCTAAACGTGCTCTTAAAGTCCGTTAATAGGAATCAGAGAATTACAGTCACGTCTAATCCAACTGGAAGCCAAACTGTAAAGCTTTGATACTATTCCATATTGGGCTCAATGGCATAGATAACTTATATATTATATATTTATATATATATATATATATATTATATATTATATATTATATATTATATATTATATATTATATATTATATATTATATATTATATTAACAAGTAACTTGACTATACGCAGGAAAGAAAAGCAAACTGGTTACAAATCCAAGATTATTATAGGGCTACAAATTACATATTTGAAGCTGTGACTGTAGTCAATGAATTAGATCTAAACCTCATATAAATATAATCATTTTTGGTTTGAAACAAAAGTTACGTCGTACTTTAATCTAGTTAATCTAAAGAGGTTGAGAGACCCCTAGCTATAAGACACCAAATTGAGGAACAGACACACGTTTTTTGGAATATATATATTTGGAATATTCCGTGCATAAATTATTATATATAAATTATAAATTATATTTACATATTTTTGGCTTGTCAAGTCATAGGTGACTCCTCCTAAATGTTGCAGTAATACACAAGTAAATGAAATTCTGTCAATCGATTCAAAATTTTATATTGTTACGCGACACGTTGCAGAAAACGTTCGCAGTATAAAAAAAAAACTTTTAGTTATATATAATTATCACCGTGAGAGCTATATATATCATTGAAATGAGTAAATCAATCAATTGTAAAATCGTCATAATCCGTTACAATAAAGATACGAGGCTACAAGGATAAGGCAACTATAGCATTTTCTGTAACGTTGTCCAACGTGACCTATACTTATCAGTTATATAAAAATGAAGCTTAAGATTAAATGATGTGCAAATATTTGCTTTGTAATTAACACATATCTTTAATAGTGGCCTGTCAGAAGTATTTTTTGAATAAATAGGCCATGTATTGGGGTAGGAAACCATTCGCAAACTTGCGACCTATCTAACAAAATGAAATACTTCCTAGTAGTTCTGGCACTGCTCGTGCCCCTGGCATCTGCAGCCACTCTCAAGGACTCTCCAGGTTCAGATGACATCGCAATTCCAGCATTTGTTCAAACGTTCAACCAACTTCACCGTGGCCCACCGGTGCGTATAAGCACCAAGCGTGCAAATGTTGAGACTCGTTTGTTTAGCCAGAGTCTTGACAACTTTGACGATACTAACCAGAATGTGTGGAACCAAGTAAGTTCTTTAGTTCCTTAAAGGGATACAACTAATCAACTTTGATCTGTTCAGCGTGTTTTGATCAACGAAGACAACTTTGTAGATGGTTCTCCCATCTTCATATACCTCGGCGGTGAATGGGAGATCGAACCTAGCGCCATTACTTCAGGACTTTGGGTTGACATTGCTAAGGAGCATAACGGGTCACTGATCTACACTGAACACAGATTCTTCGGTGAAAGTATTCCGATTAAGTAAGCTCTTATTTATCAAAATCTCTAGATCTAGAAAAGAAATTTCTCTTTTCTTATCATCAGGCCTTTGTCAACAAAGAACCTCAAATATCAAAGTGTAGAACAGGCTCTGGCCGATGTTGTGAATGTTATCAAAGTCCTGAAAAAGGAGGACAAGTACAAGGACTCCAAAGTCGTGGTTTCAGGTTGCTCCTACTCTGCATCGATGGCAGTTTGGCTTAAGCTTTTGTACCCTAACGTAATCGTGGGCAGTTGGGCATCCAGCGCTCCACTAGAGGCCAAAGTGGACTTTTCTGATTTCATGGAAGTTGTTGGTAGAGCCTATAGGGAACTGGCAGGAGACTATTGCTACGACCTCATCGATAATGCCACTTCCTACTATGAGGGCTTGTTTCAGTCTGGTCAGGGCGCAGAAGCCAAGAAACTCCTTAACCTGTGCGACAGTTTCGACGAGACTGATGAACGCGATCAGTGGCAAATATTTAGCTCGATTGCAAACATTTTTGCAGGCCTGGCGCAGTACCAAAAGTAAATATATCACAAGGTAATTCCATAACTTCTTCTTGATTTTCTTTCCTTGTAGACCAGAAAACTATGACCTCGCCCAATATTGCTCCGTTCTGCGAAGCTTTGATGATGATGATGCTTCAGCACTATCTCAGTTCATACAGTGGCGTCTCGGCAGGCCAGAATGTGTTAACACCCGATATCAGGGATCTGTTGATTATTACAAATGGTCCAAGAACAACTACGACGGTTGTAAGTAGTACTTGAACCCCTAACATGAACTATAGATACAATGTGAGCCTCTCTTTCTCTTAGCTGGCCTAGGTTGGTTCTATCAAACCTGCAGACAATTTGGTTGGTTCCAGTCCTCTGCAAACAGCAACCATCCATTCGGATCAACTTTCCCGGCCACTCTGTATACCGACACGTGTCACGACGTGTTTGGATCACGTTATACCTCAGCGAGAATTGAAAAGTACGTACAGGCCACAAACTCCGCGTATGGTGGCAAGGATCCGAATGTGGAGAATGTTTATATGACTCATGGTGGATTGGATGGATGGAGCAAAGTTGGCGCTGGCCTTGCACAGGGCGCTACAATTATTCCCCAGGCCTCACACTGCTCCGACGCGGACTCAATCAGTTCCAGAGACAGTTCTGCATTGCGTGCAGCTAAGGAACGATTGGTGGAACTAGTTCGCGAGTGGCTCGCATAAATTCCGGACCAGATGAAGCTTTAGTAACATTTATTTGCATTTTATTTTTGTAATTGAATAATCATATATAAATGCATTAAATGTTTGTGTAACAAAACCCATGTGTATTCCAATTGTTACGGGATTACTTCCTGAGAAGAGACTTGGCAAAACAACATTCTCGTCAAGATATTTATATATTCAGACATAAACTAAGCTGGGAATATATATTAAATATATTATATGATAGAGACAGACGGCTCCATTTATTAAATATTTATTACTTTTTCCAAGATAATAAGCTATTTTTCGCAATTTATATAAAGTTCACTGCACTTGATAAGAATTTCTGATAATTTAGCTACGTTTATTGGGGTGGTTCCGTTAAAAGACAACAACCTTACATCATGGGTTGGGCTATTCTTCAAAGTGAAGTGTAATTGATTAGAGCAATAAAATGGGATTAAGTGGTCAATATCAAGTCAAAAGTAAGGCATTACTCAACGTATACAAGTCGGATATAAATGACTAACATATACCCTGCCTTTGTTCTTCCCCTATGAGTGTGCGAGAGGTATTCAATAAATTATGTTGTGAAATATACTTTACATGTGATATAGATTGTTTATCGATATTCAAGATATATGAAACTTTTAGGTTCAAAAGTTAGCTATATAACAAGGTAGAACGTGTACATAAATTATAAAATGGTTGAACAAAAAGTGAAGCGTTGCGATTCAGAAGCTTCTGCACTGGTCAAATCTATGAATTACGAGTAACCACTTGAACTTATCAATACTTAATTTTTTGTAAATATTTAATATGAAATAAAGACTTATCTAGGTTAGTAGGAAATCATTTTAGGATGATGTTTCAGAGGAAAACTGGACAGGTTCGACGTTGATATTGAGGAAATGGGCAAATTTTAAAGTTCCATAGCTTTTATTTCATTGGTAGAACCAACCGTTGAAAATGTGTTAAGCGTCGTGTCTGTCAAGAGTCAGCTTGCCCAGTTTACTTCCCATCCGATGCATACAATAGCGACAGCGCGGCATTAAGACCACATATTTCTACACCCAATGAACTGCACTGAATTCAGGTACGTGTGGGACATACCAAATATGATGGCCTATCAAACGATGTCAATAGGCTGTGTGGCTACTGCTACGATTTCGAAAATGTCATAAATCTAAATGCCAACCAGAAGCAAGACGCGCATAACAATGACCACCGAACAGGAACGCTGTGCTTCAATCAAACTCAATTTGTTTATAAATGGAATAAAGTACAATTAACAGGCTGATCCCATATCATTTTAAATGTAACTGATACAACTTTGTGGGCCCTCAACGATTTCCGTTAGTGTAAAGAGAAATGCCAAAGTGTTGAGCTGCGTTTTGGTCAAATTATATTGGTATGCGGCAGCTACATGAACGGCAAATACTTTTGGGCCAGAAGCAGTGCTTCCCACACTTGCTATGGGCTTTTAGCAATTTAATTGAACACAAAAATAAAAAAAAAATTCCTTTGTTTTTCAATCATTGAAAAAAAAAAACTATATATCTATACGAATATGTTTTCTATATATAGAAATGTCTATCAATGTTTTAGAAATTGTAACGAAATATTCAGAATTAAAATCTTATACCTATTGTAGCAGCCACCATATACGAGATAGCCAAGAGAAATCCTATAAGAATAAAATCTACAAAAGTAACAAGCTCTCACAAAAGAGAACTTGTTAGCGCAAGGGTATGGGGAAGCCGGCTATGGTTCTCTTATATTTGAAAACGTATGCAGGCTAAGACAAAAGTTTACTCGGCTTCGATAAGCCGCTCAAAGAGCCGATGAAAAGACCATGCCATGCCAAAATGCCAGGGAATTAGTCAACGAGTTGGGAGAACAATTTCGAGCCTGAGAACCGAGCAATAAAATGGACGAAAAGGCAAACACCAAATTACTTGACGGCCAGCGCAAATAACAAATCAAAATCAGTGACAAAATGATTTAGGAACCAAGCGAAAAAGTTCACACGAAGCCCAGCAGCCACAGCGACAGTGGAAGATATCACAGCACATACACACACAAATATACACACACACACACACAGTTGCTTGGTATTGCATCCTTTTGGCTGAGAATTTCTTGTGGCTGCCTTGGCAGTGTCATTGTTGCGATAAAGATCACAATGTGTAAATCATGGCGAAAAGTGCTCGATCGATGCTGATGGCAATGGCAATGCCGACGCCAAAGCCGACGCCGACGACTGCGCATTGCATAAACAAGTAGTCGAGCAAATGGATACAAGTCGCGGCAACAAGGAGCTGCCCTTTTATTCATCGCCCACACATAAATTTGCCAGCTGCCAATTCAATTGGTGTACATGGATTGCAGCACGGAGTTTTGCACATTGTCATAGACCTTCACAATATCTGCGTCTGCTTGTAACTGCTTAAGGAACTCTGAATAGCGTGTCAACTCTGGTGGTCGCAGCTTCACCAACGGCTCGATAGGGCAATAACCAATTTCAGTGAGAAGCGGGTTGTAGCCAAACTGCCTCAGATTGCCGGCCACTTTGGATATGTGTGCTGGATGGCATCGAAAACATAATGCGCCCATTTCTATGCTCACAATTCGACAGCTTTCCGCCTGGCACGACAGCGACACTTTATGAAGGTGCTCTTCCAAGTTGGCAAAGTCCACTACAGAGTGACCCGTCATTAGTACATGGATAAAGCCCATTTGCTTAAAGAGTCTTTTCTCCCCGTGCACTGCACGAAAGCGCGACTTATAATCCTTAAGTAATGGTGACAAACGTTCTTTTAGTGAACTCAAATTAGCCGTTTTTACCTGGCACACCAAGGCCGCCTCCCGTCCATTGTAGTGGACGTGCAGTACGCAGTTATCATTTCTGTTCGAAGGCTCGTCAAGCCCCCGCAGTAGAAGGTTCTTGTTGCACTTATGTCGATTAGTACGCCGTTTGTCAACATTACCATTTTTCCAGATGATTTTAATTGTTGAGTCAATCTCACCATCTAGGCCATTGAATTTATCCGATTTATTTAAAACGATTGGGTTCGGGCTTAATGCGGGTGTCTTTTGGAAACTAGAGGGCAAAAGGTTAGCTTCAAGTCGGGTAATGTTATGTGACTGCGCATATCTTTTTAGCAAGAACTCCATTTAAAATAAGTATATAAAAAAACAAATAATTTCGTTTAGTTTTAAGAAAGTTTTTGTTGCGATGCTGTCGATATGGTTTCTATCGATTTTTAAATTAATCTCAATCAAAAAAGGGTTTCTTATGAGAAAAGCAGCTCTGATTGATACAGAATTGAAACCTAAAATCCTTCAGTTAGGCTCTCCATGCATTCCCACATGGAGCCTTCCTCAACAGATCTTATCTTACCATACGGAAGCCATATTTTCCTCAAGTTCTAAAGTTAACTAAGTTGTATTGCACAAGTATCCACAATTTTACCAAGCTATTTTCATTTAACTTACCGTATCAGCTGCAGTCAAATTAATACCCAATCCACCTGCCCGTGTAGAGAGCAGGAACACAAAAATATCGGCGCGGGTTTGAAAGTCAGCGACCATGTCGCGACGAGCTGAGATTTTGCTAGAGCCGTCGAGACGCATGTAGCGATGCTTGCGGTGCCACATATACTCCTGCAAATTAAAGTTGGCATTTGAAATCAATTAAAAGCATTTTAAGGCTTAAGACCCACCTCGAGCAGGTCAATCATTTTGGTCATTTGCGAGTAAATAAGAACACGATGACCTTCGGCCTTGAGGCGTGTAAGTAGGCTGTCTAGCACAAATAGTTTGCCCGCATCTGTTATAAGTGTCTCCTTATCGGGCACCACAATCGACGACCAGCCATTGCGCGGCTTGCACAGCGCCAAGCCAGTGCCCACAAGTTCTCTGCCCAACACATTCTCGCACTGCAGGTGGCGTATCTGCGCCCAGGCTGCTGCGCGACTTTCACAGCTAACAAAAAATAGATGGTAGGTATTAGTATATTGTACACACTTTAAATCCTAAGCAGCGCTACTTACTATAAATGTCGATCGACTGCTTGCACCCGTTGACCCAGCCCATAGAGGAAGCGCGGCATCTGGAGTGGTTCGCATTGATAGCATTGCGGCTTACGTGGACGATGCGGGAACTCGGGCAGCAAATGCAACGTAGTCATCTTAACATCGCTCTTGGTATTCGATTTGGTCTGCACCTCCACAGATTCCACCTCTAGCTCCTGCTTTATATGCGGCTCAGCCTTGACTTGTGGTTGGCCGTCGGCATCGACGAGTTCCTCAATGAGTGCTGTCTTTTGCTTAAGTATTTTAGAACGAGTCACACGATGCTCTATCGTTTCCTGCATGTTGGTAGTGATGTAATCGCCAAAAGCATACACGCTGCTCTCTTTAGATGTCTAAAACAATAAGATAATTTAAACATTTACAAATACAATATATAAATAAACAAAAACTCTAGGACGATATAGTACGAAAAAAACAATAAACAAATAAATGAAATAAGCTGATAAACTGAAACCAGGCAAATCAACGGTTAATACCCTAATCTTTTACCATTTTCTGAGCAAGGAGTAAAGATAAATGTTATTTATTTACAATATGTTAAACATTATTTACCATTGCGGTAAAGATGAAATTCCTTAGCACACTGTTTGTAAGCAAATAGTCCGGCACAAGCTTGCGTTCCAGAACTGGTTCTAAGAGCTGGTAACGAGGAGCTCGTTGATCTGTCCACCACTGACGACGATAGGCAAGCAGAGGTTGCTTGGTAAGTACGCGACGATAATGCAACAAGCTGAAAAATAAATCAGAACTAAGTACACACGATAGCAATTTGCATTGAAGTGCTTACAAGTCAATGAGGCCATGCCACGTGACATCCTCCATGTCAGACAAGGAGAGATCAGACAATCGGGTGAAACCGAAGCAGCTATTAACGTGTACATCATCGAACAGGGATTCATGTATGTGGGCCGACTTAAAGATGTTGAAGCTGTAGAAAAAGAATCTCATATTAAAATAAAAATTAATTCAAAGCTGAGCAACTGCTAACCGATTATATAGGAGATGCCTGCGGCTGGGTAAGGCGCTATGAAGCAGTCCATCATCAAATACTAGTCGAGGCAGAACAAACTCTGCACATCGCATGCTGAACGGACTCTTTGCATCTCGTCGTTCAAAGAGTTCCGGATGATTGCAGACTTTGCGGAACTGCATGACCAGATTCATGAGATTCGAGGTAAAGTTCCGATCAACAATAGCGCCATCCCCTGAAGCGGAGGTTGTGGAGCCACCGTTGGCAACATGCAGCAGGTCCTCGATGCGAATTTTTTGTTTCAATGCCCTATAGAGCAACTTCTGGCGTATGGTTAGCGGACAGTAGACCATAATCTCAATCTTGTCGGACAGCTCATTCTCCACATCCTTCTTGATACGCCGCAGCATGAAAGGTTTCAATATCATATGCAGCCGCGAGATTTGGCGTGCATCTATGCCTGTCTTATTTTCTGCATGCGATTCGATGTCCTTCGAAAACCATTCGTTAAACTCGTCATGCGAATCAAACAATGTGGGCATTATAAAGTGCAGCAAGGCCCACAACTCCGCCATGCTGTTTTGTATGGGCGTGCCGCTCAGCAATAAGCGATTGCGACAATTGAATCCCAACAGGAGCTTCCAGCGCTGTGAGGCGGCGCTTTTGATGGCTTGAGCCTCATCCAGAACCATGTACTGCCACTTAATCCGATTGAAATACTTGTAGTCACTAACAATAAGCTGGTACGAAGTGATTACTACATGGAAACTGGCCTCACGTGTGTGCAGGTGCTTCTGCTCCCAGAACTGCCGCAAGATTTTACGCTCATTCGGTGAACCCCAGTAGGGCACCACATTGAAGTCGGGTACAAATCGCGCCATCTCCTGCTGCCAATTGTGCAGCGTTGAAGCAGGTGAAATGACCAGAAATGGACCCCACACGCCATAATGCTCCGCAATGTGACAAAGAAATGCTATCGATTGCACTGTCTTACCCAGGCCCATCTCATCGGCCAGAATGCCACTGATGCCTTGATTGTATATATTAGCTAGCCATGTCATGCCCTTGATCTGATAGCCTTTAAGTGTGCCCTTAAACATGTTAGGCTGTGGCAAATCCTTCATTTGTTCACTCTCTGGTTGCGGTTGATCTAGCTCTTGCAGCTGCTCCAATATTTGCTCTTTCTTGAAGGGTACATCGAAGGCGCGTGTCTTGTCCAAATCACGCTGCATTGCAGCTTCTGCATTCGCCTGCGCCAGCTGCTTCATTTCGCCTGCATCGTAATCATCTTGGGCAGCCAGACGCGCATTGTGTTCCTCGTCCAATTGGCTTAGTATCCGCAACTGGTCCTCCTCGGTGCCCTGACCTAGTTTCTTGGACATGAAATGAGCATACAGTTCCGTTTGGGTAATTAAGAAATTAAGTTTGCGCTGTTGACGTTTCACTTCAATAAGTTCGACATCTTGTTTGCGCTGCTCCTCGGCCTCACGCTCCTGTTTGCGGCGCTGGTCGCGCTCAACGCGCTCATAGCGCTTCCAATAGTTAAGCATTTCACGTGTAAGACGCTTTGCCCGCCAAACAGTCTCTTTCATGATGCGCTGCGAGTTGAGTGCTCGCTGGCGCACAACCTTTGCACACATTCCAGCAACACGCTTGCAATTGGCCAGCATCTCCTTGTGATTGTTGCTCTTGATGCGCTGCAGTCGTCCGGACTCCTTTTTAGACATAATCTGCCAGATGCGCCGACGTCGTGCGGCCAAAACTTCAGGGTTCTTACGACGGCGGCGGACACGAGTAACTTGTCCGTCGGATGCACCTACTACATCCACTTCTTCCTCAATTTCCTCCTCTTCCTCGGGATAGTCCAAAGCCAAATTGGCCAGTTCGCGCTTGTAGTCTACCTCGCCATTATCATCATCATCTTCATCGTTGGCAGGCAGCGTGTCTCCAAAACTGTACTTGCCCAGCTCCGACGGTGGCACTTCCCCAGACTCCGGAGAGTCTAACGTTGTGCGCTTTTTACGCCCGCGGCGACGCTGCTTGACCGGTTTCGGACCCGCCTGCGCTTCAGCCAAGCGGGCTAAAAGTATCTCCTGTTTGGTGCGGCGTCGACGTTTACGCACGCCAACTGTTGCCTGCTGGCGTTCAGCATAAACATCATGATTTGACAGCAGCCCACTGCCATAGTAAGCGTATTGAGCGTTCTGCAAAGCTTATAGGTTAGCACGGGCTAATTGGTAAACCGCTCAACTACTTACTGTGGCTTTTTTGTAATAGTTCTTACGCTGGCGTTGTTCTTGTAGATGCTCGCGAAGCATTTGATTAATATATTCATCCTCATCGCTCACCTGCGGCTCGCTGTCTGTGTCGCTCAACAATATGTCGTAAAGCCATTCCCGATCACTAGTTAGATCGTTGAAGTTGTAGATCTGCGCCTTTACGCTTTGTCGCTCTGTAAATGTGTAATGAATAGCTAATTAAAAAATATTGATAATTTTTCTCTTAATTATTTACCTTCTTTGCTGCCCAGGAGCCGTTCTCGGCGTCGCTTTTTGGGTTTTATTTTTACCATGCCCACCCTTGTCGACGAATCGTCCGAGTCAATGCATTGCCCCTGCCCTGTCTCCGGTTCAGTGGCGCTGCCTTCGCCACTTCCACTGCTCAATGGCTGCTTAAGGGCCTCGCGAGCCATCTCCATGAAGGGGCGCATATTTAATGCTGCCTCCAGTCGCTGTATGTGTAATGGTTCGGCCATTAGGCGTGGCTTCAATTCAGTGGCCTTCGCCATGTTGCGCGTGCTTCTTTAGTTTCAATATTAATTTTCTTTGCGTAATCTTTTGGGCAACTTCAGACTGATAAACTTTCGATTTCCAGATGCAAATTTCCGTTAGCTTGGCGGTGCACTGGATGCCTCAAATGAAATTTGAATGATTTTCATTTAAAAAGTGTCACGTAATTGTGAAAATTTTGCATGCGTTGCGTAAAAAATGCACGGCTGTTTTTGTATGTTGCGGTATACACTTTTTTACTTGCCCACACGCTGCACACAAGCACATTTAGGCAGCCAAACAAATAATATTCTTCTCGGCTCTTGTAGTTCATTGTTGTTGTTTGCAGGGTTGCGTGCAGGGTTGCATAAACTGGACGTGCAGTGTTGAGAAATTCATTACAACAAAATGAGTACCAAGTATATTAACGAATTTATGGATATATCGTACAGTAGTATTAATTATAATCTTAAGAATAATTAATACATAACGTCAATACAAATCTCTTAAATATTATTGTGTACATGGCGACAACGCGAGGTATAACGCGTTAAACGCACGCATCATTGTGTTCACATCTGCCCGTTGCAACACTGACTGAGAGAAATATTATCATTTAACAAAACTGCAAAATCAGCGACGACCGGATGAAACAGCTGTTGAAAATGTCTTGGCAAACCGGCTTAATAAAAACTATTTTAGATCCAACTAATTTAATTATATCGACGGACGTTGCAGTAGTCATTGCGGACAAATACCCAAAAGCACGCCATCATTATCTTGTGCTTCCCAAAGAAGATATTGCCAGCATATTTCATGTAATAAACAGCAATTCAAAAACGGATGATGCAACGTATAATTATTTTTAATTTTCAGTTGAATAAGAAGCATTTGCCATTATTGGAAGAACTTCATCTACTGGCACGAAATATAATTGAAGTGCGCGGCGAGTGCTTTAACAGTTTCCAAATTGGCTTTCATGCACAGCCGAGTATGCAACGGTTGCATTTACACGTAATATCAAAGGACTTTGTCTCTAGTTGGCTAAAGACAAAAAAACATTGGAATAGCTTCAATACGGCGTTTTTCATACCATACAAAAGTAAGTTGGAACATGAAAACAAAACTACTATTGTAGAAAATTAATTATTACCCTGATATTTTCAGCACTCTATGAGAAACTTAGACACGACGACCCAATACAGCGTTTGCCCAAAGGAAAAGTGGATGAGCTGCTAGCCAAGCCATTAGCATGTAATCAGTGTGAATTTGTTGGCAAAAATATACCTTCGCTCAAGGAGCACCTGCTGCAGCACTGATTTGTAAATACAAACGGCTGATCCAGATGCATGTAAACAAATGTTTTTCAGCGTTTGTATCAGTGGAATTTTTTACAACACTGTCTTCCAGTATTCACTATCAAATGATGTGCCGATTCCAAATGTGCCATTTCTATACTCAGTCTTCATTTAGATACCCTGTGTAGTTCGGTTTCCATTTACAGCTGAGTAGGCTGTTAAATTTATTTGTTCTCTGATTAAATAATTGATTCGAAATGAGTAATCGTATTGAATCAGCTAAAGAACTCTTGAAGCTAAAGGCGAAATCGGAGAAAGCTCTGATCGAAACAGATCAGGCGGTGGTTCTGAAGGACGCTTATCCTAAGGCTCAATATCACTTTTTAGTTGTGTCCAAGGAAGACATACCGAATTTGTCCGCTGTAAGTTCTCGAACAGATATTTCAATTTGATTTATTCTTTGTGCTAATACGCTTAACGCCCGGCAGCTAACGCAAGAGCATTTACCGCTCTTGGATCATATGAAGGAACTGTCAGTTCAAATAATTGAGCAGCAGCAAAATGTTTCACTGAAAAACTTTCTGATTGGTTTCAAAATCGATCCATTTATGAAGGGCTTGAAAATGCACGTCATATCAGATGATTTCTATTCGAAGTCTATGCGTCGAATAAGCCATTGGAACAGCTTCAATACAGAATTATTTTTGACTTATCAGACTGTTTACGCCCTGATTCGTGTCCAAGGCCACATAGAGCCCATTCTGGCTGAAAAAGCTAAGGAACTGCGCAGTGCTTTGCCCTTGCGTTGCAATCAATGCAGTTTCGAAACTGAATATTTGCTCGAGCTAAAGGGACACCTGCTTGAGCATTGGAAAAAACGAGAAGTTAACAAAGTGGAGCAGCAAGTGGAAGTTGTTATTCGCATGCTGGACGAAACCAAATTGGCAACTTTACCTAAGAAAGAGCTAGATAAATCAGCTGTACCACTAAATCAGTCAAAGTCGAATCAAGCAATGGAGTCAGCTTATCATGAACGAGTGACGGCCGCCAATCCATTTAAAGTCACAATCCCAGCAACTAACAAGAAGCCACCAAACTGCCGTCGAAACATGGGATACCAACCGCCAGAGACAAGTGCAGCTCAACATCCCAATGCATTTAATAAGCAATACTATAAACCATATCACCCGATGGGCAGTACAAATCCCAATTTCAAACCATTGCCCATTGGACAACCAAATAAACACAATATAAACACCTCGGGACCATATTCGTATCCAACCAATTTTCAGCCCCTAAAAAATGTAGCCAAAAATAAGAATTTCCCTAAGCCACAAAACTTGGATGGTCAACAAAATCCATCCTTGAATAAACCAAAGCCAGAGTTCAAGAAAAAAAATTATAAAAAAAATCAATCTGATGTCTCTTCCAAGTCCAAAGGGCAGAATGGGGGACAGTCATCGTAAAAGAAATGTTTTATGAAACAAACTGAAAACTCTCTTGAGTCCAAAGGATTTCTAGACACTTCCTGGATTATTTTTTAGTATTTTGTAATTAGTATTTGTATCTACAAATAAATGTTGCATCATAAAATTTACATAAATAAATAATTAATAAAGATATAATTCGGAAATGGCTGTAAGCTTGAACTGCATGTGGTAGTCATGCGGTGTTCTGACAGATGGCTAGATGGACATGTCTGGGTCGTCTCGAATAACAATTGTATTCGACTAATTGTCGGTCATTGGTTCAAGTTAGATACAGGGCCACGTCAGCCAATGCAACGGAATCGAACATTTATATGGACTGTGAAGATAGTTTCTTAAGGGCGTGACGTCACGTGCGATCATTCGCACAGAATTGCATATGCAGTTGTGACGTAGTCAGAGTGAACCATTTGTAATCTTTTCTGTTCCGTTTTTCGTATTAGGGCCTTTATCCAACACTGTTAAAGCATATTTACAATTAGATGTGCCGATTCCAATAGCTCATAATTGTTTGTTTTGCTGCAGCTTGACTGATTGAATTTATTTGAATCGCCATAAGACTTGAAGGTCATGCAGGAGAATGAAAATGATGTGGAATATAAACGCAGCGAATTAACTCGCAGGCTAAACGCTGGCGAAAATGTGATAATTCAGAGTGATCGGGCAGCGGTGCTGCAGAACGTGGCTAATCCCAAGGCGCAATATCATTTTGTCGTCTTGCCCAAAGAGGATATTGAAAATGTTATTGCGGTATGTAAAGCGACGTATATGTATATGCATAGGTTATACTTAAAAGTGCATTTGAGATGCAGCTGAAACGCGAGCATCTTCCTCTTTTAGAGCACATGATGGATCTTGCGAATGAAGCTATCGACAAGCAGCAATTGCCGGCAAGTGATTTTCGGATTGGTTTCAAAATGAATGCGTTTATGAATCGGCTCAACATGCATGTCATCTCTAATGACTTCTATTCAGGTTTCATGCGTCGCATTCAGCACTGGAACACGTTCAACACCGATTTGTTTATAACATTTCAAGCTATATACGCTCTGCTTCATGTGACGGGATCTGTTGAGCCGATGCCCGCTGATAAGGTGGAACAGCTACTTCTAGCCACGCCCGTACATTGCAATCAGTGTCGTTTTTGTACTGACAACTTTGGCAAATTCAGGCATCATTTGGCTTTGCATTGGATGGATTGCGAAAAAGAACGTCTTTGGAAAATGGGCGTGGGAAACATATCGCAGTGGATGGGGCAAATGCAGTTGAATGGCAATGATCGAATACCGTGCCAGCCGCCACTTAATCCATTTCATCGTCAAATGATTCCCATGCAGAATAATCCGTTCGTACATCGCTTTCAAAGACCATTTGGACCACAACTGCGTCCGCCATTGCAGAATCGTAACTCTAACAACAATTGGCCTAGCTACAGGCATCCAGCTCCGACTAAGCCCCCTACAAATAGCTTGCAAAAACCGAAGGCTCAGTCAGCATCCAATGCAGATCCTGACAAAAGCCCCGACCATCAGCAAAACGATACAAAGCCGTGTGCTAAAAAAAAATGGTATACGAAGCGCAAAAATAAGTCAAATCTGCAGACAAAGCCGGAAACTTCCAGTAGCAAAGCCAACGCCAAACTCACTTGAGATGAGTCTTCAAGAAACCCATTCGATGTTATCTAACGTTTTATATGTCTATTAATTTAACAGTTATATTGTTTAAGATAACTTGTTATGAGCCTGGAAATATTTTAATGTTTATTCCAAATATATTCAGAGCCAGGCAAACTTTTATTGACAAAAATAAAAAAAAAAACTTATCTGCAGTCAGAATTTTTTCTGCTATGTACTAAAATTATTCTTTATGATCTTTACGAACTGTTATATAAACAACCTGAAATATATTTTGTAATCAATATATGATAAACTTTTTTGAATCAAAAAAGCATGTAGCTCTTAATCGAATGCGATTATCAATTACTTAAAACTAACTGGATCTAAAGATCGAAATCCATTTGATAAATCGAAAATCTGCCTCTAGCTAATGCAATATAGTGACAAGGCTAAATTGTCTGGGGCGTTCATACTGATTAATATTTCTTCTACTTCTTTCTTACATACAATTTAACGAAAGGCTGCTACAGATACATTTTCTGTGGGGTCAGGGGGACAGCGGTGCCTCAGAGCGGAAATATTCAGTCTAGGCAGGCTCGTCTGATCAATAATATATGTATGTACCTAATAAGATAGGTGATAAGTAAACTTATTGTTCATACATTTTCAATACAACCCTCTTAGCTCACAATGATTACAGAGTATATAGAAAGCAAAGCTCAGGTTAAACAATTTATAATTATGAAATGCCGCTGGGCTAATTCAAATCTAAAGGAAAATAAACGGTGCGTGGGCTCCTACTCCGTCTACTCTTAAGTTTGCCAGCGAAGTAGTTCAAATCCGGAAAATTATGTTCCCATGGCTAATTACGGGCACCAAGGGCAACTGAGTCAGCCCTCGAGTGATGCAGAAGGCAAGGTTATCTCGCACGGGGATTCAAAAAATTAAATTATTATCCTGTTTGGTGGGTAAGTGGGCAAAGTTTTCCGATCGTCTTGACACCTGGGAGACGTTCAGCTTTAATAGGCTCCATTCAGCAGCTCTTTGTGAGCACTTTTAAATTATACTATATTTACACCTAGCCCACCTGGGTGCAAAGCTCAAAGTTATTTTCCGTTACTAAACATGAGTTGGCACCTGCGTTTACACAGAGAGCTAAGCATCTTTACATTTACTTAGCTTAATTATTTTACTTGAAAATACAGCCAATACAGGTGTGGATGTACTCTAGATAGATAGGCAAATCGAATGAGTATTATTTCTCGGGTCTAACCCGCTTTGCTGCTGACTATTTAGTAGTCAAATAGAGAAGCTATTTTAATGTCTTCGGCTTTGACTCTTTTTTTAGAGGCTTACAATATTGGCCTTGCCGCCCAGCATTATTTGACAACCCATTTAATAGCTTATAGTTGAGATTTGTTCAGTTTAACTTGACATTTTAGAGTGGGTAGACACACTAAAGCCAGACACACCAAATTATTGAAATTTGATGTAGAAATAATGATTCCATTTGGCCGAGTCATTGGTCCAAATGCCTTCATAGCCACATGGCCAAAATCATATTTCAGCAGTAATGTCCTGATATGTTCTATTCTATCATGCCCTTTTAATTTTTGTTGAAAATATTTTGTTTTGTATTATTAGGATTTAAATTTGTGTAACTATAAAAAAAGCATATATCAAATAGTTGAACTTACCTGTGCTCCAATGGTGATGCAATGGTGTTTAGACAAGGAAAGTCCGCGGTTTTTAGTAATCTGACTTTCTGCTATTTCAATTTGATTATAAATGGACCTTACTGAAATAAATTCCAATATATTCGTATTTAAAGTTACTTTTAAGACCACTCACCTTTGTACTTGAGTGTCATTATTTTACAGTTGAAGGCCGCTTGAGTTTATAATTCAGCAGTTTGTCAACAGTTTGCTAGCAATTTGTTAGCCACCTTTTGCCATTCAATTAAGTTTTTACGTTATAAACTTCCTGGCAAGCTAATCCACTTGGCGCTGTTATTTTAGCACTTCGTGGTAAGTAAGCTGTTAGCTCTGGATGCTGGGCTACGAGGCCAAAATGTACACCGCTGGCCAAATTAAGAGATATGCGCGCGATTAGCTAATTTCAAGGTAACAAACCTGAATGAAGGCTGTGCGAACGGAGCTCTAAACCATTTTTCTGCTGCTGTTGACATGGCTATTGCAATTTAAACTTGACGCCGACACCTGCAACTGTGTTTGTGTGTCACAGTGTCAAGGTGTCTGTAGAAAGCCTTCAAACTTTACTCTCAACCACTTCAGTTCCGCTCATTTTTGGTTTTGCTTTTTTCTTGTTTTTTGGAAGGGAAACGTAGGTTAGCGGCCATTGTTAAAGTAGCTTCCATTTACCACTTGGCCATCGGCAGAGTCATTAAAGCTGTCTCCCAACCACATTGAGCGTTCTCCCAGCCTTGCCACCTGTTACGAGTTTGCTCAAGCAACAGGATGCCATTCATAATGGAATTTTATTTTTGAGCCAGCTTTCGCTGAGCAGCGCTCTCTCAGCGAGTGGGCGAGTGCTTAGCCAAGCGCATGCTCCGGCTTTCTTTGCCAGAGCACAAAAAGCTTCTGTACTGCTGTAGTTAGCTTAGCAAAAAGTTTGCCTCAAATGGAATTTCGCGGGTTTTTGCAATGCCTTTAAAGAAGTTTTCCTTTATTGTGTTATGCGTCTCTAAAGGTTTGCGAGTGTCTAGTACTTGAGCTAACATCAATACATATATATCTATATATTCAAGCAGAATAGCTAGACTATGTCTTATCATTACTTTGACCAGTTACAAAAACTAATTAGTATCATTCCTTAAGGCAAATACTTTTCTGCTGACTCAAGTACTATCAATATTCACAGGGTTCAGGGAATCTCCTAGTGGGGCAGTCTCGTCTAGACTACTTTTCCTTGCTTAAATAACCAATAAACGTTTACCAGATAACCAAGGTATAGGCATATTTTCATAACGTATGTGAGACCCACCAACAATTTGGAGATCCTAAACAAATCAATTACCAGCAAATAATTATCAAGCAAATATTATTAAAAGAGTGGAGTAGTAAAATAAGAAATCTGGATTATGTGGCTCATAATGCATTAAGCCATTAAGCCATATTAGTATATATTTTATTCTGATTAATTGCTGTCAAATGACAATTTTGAACTACAAAAAAACGTTACTTTAAACAAATTTCAAACTCAATAAAAATTCTTTGTTTTTTTTTTTTTAGATTCGTATAACGCTTAGACTGATAGGGCTAGAGTTAAATGAGTTCAAGTTGCATTTAACTGATGCTTAACTCTACAGTTCAAATCAAAAAGAATATTTTATATTTAAAATGCATCATTAGATTGTCTAAATACCGTAAGCGATTATTTTCCACAGTTAAATAAATATACGTTGTTCAGAGTACTTCAAATATGTCAACCAGTTCCCAATGAAAACGAACTTATTTCCATATTTCAGATTATATTCAATATCTATTTGAAATTATTGTAAGAACATTTTAAAATCTTATTCTACAACAGCAAAATAAACATTTGTTAAAAACTGCAATCGCATTTCGAATAGAAAATTGATTTTTAGTAAATATTCGCCAGATGGCCAAGCAAGTGGCATAGTGTCATAGCTTATATAAAACCCATCAATATAGTATGAGCCCTACAGAAAATTAAGGATTAAGGATTTTAAAATTGTAGAGATGAAAGATTTGGCTTACCAATAAGGGGCACTGTGTTTGAAAATTGGAATAATTTTTAAGTAAATCGAACACCATTATAATAACTGGATTATAAGGCTTCCTAAGGAACCGACACACATCAAATGTTGGCTTATAAAGCCAAGGCTTGTATCCATTGGCCTTAAAAAAAAACTGTGCTTCAACGTGATACCTGTTAACATCATGTAAAATTGTGGAATTAAAGTTGAAAACAGTCTTGTTTCGACTGATTGCTTTCAGGCGGCACAAGTGTATAGTGATCCAGGATTCATTATGCGACTTGCAGACGGCATTCGTGAGCTTGAATTGTCCTGCATTCTAAAATATAAAATACCCTTAAGTTTTGTGACAAATTTTCATAAGTTTTCTACTTACATTCAAACCGAATTTTAGTACTAAACAAAATTGAATAATACCAACAATAAGCAACGTGCTCTTCATAGCTTGACTGTAGCGCGACTCTTCGGTACAAATAATCTGAAATGTTTTATAAATAATATGTTCGGAAAGCTAATTTAAAAGATAATCGATCAAAAATACACGTTTTAAAATTTAATACACTTAATAGCATTCGTTGAAATTATCCATTTAGTTCATTTCAATATATTATCCATTTCAAATTGTATATTCAAAATATATTTATTGACCAGATAAGGCAGTAGAACATTGCTCTCTTAACTACATAGTTAACGCTTTTGTAAGCAACCTTTTTAAAATATATTTCCTAGCTTGTATCCTGCATAAATTTAGACAATTATTCCAATTAGCACGTTTGTCGAACAACAAAGACAAAGAATAATATTTAAGCCCACATTGGAGTTTCAGATCTCGAACCAACATCTCCTCGCTTTGCTTAAAAATGCAAAATGATTTATATATTGCCAATATTTGCAACTGAATTAAATATACATGATATTGTGACACTAGTTCATATAAAGAAAAAGCTAAAACTTAAAACCTGAGTTTCAAAAAAGCTTTTAATCAACAGCTACAAATAGGAATAGTTATCGATTATTTGAAACATTAATAAATTGCTTTTGCTCGACTGTCTTCAAGCCATTCGCGTACTAGTTCCACCACTCGTTTCTTGGATGTACGCACTGATTGACTGTCTTTGGAACTAATTGAGCCCTCATCGGAGCAGTGTGAGGCCTGGGGAAAAATTACAGCTTCCTGTGCGGGGCCAGCGCCAACTTTGCTCCATCCATCCAATCCACCATGAGTCATATAAACATTCTCCACATTCGGATCCTTGCCACCATACGCGGAGTTTGTGGCCTGTACGTACCTTTCAATTTTCGCTGAGGTATAACGTGATCCAAACACGTCGTGACACGTGTCGGTATACAGAGTTGCCGGGAAAGTCGATCCGAATGGATGGTTGCTGTTTGCAGAGGACTGGAACCAACCAAATTGTCTGCAGGTTTGATAGAACCAACCTAGGCCAGCTAAGAATGAAAGAAGAAAGGCTCATATTCGATGTAGCTTGTATTAGGGGCTTAGGTACTACTTACTCCCATCGTAGTTGTTCTTGGACAATTTGTAATAGTTCACAGTTCCCTGATAGTTTATGTTAACACATTCTGGCCTGCCGAGACGCCACTGTATGAACTGAGATAGTGCTAAAGCATCATCTTTGTCAAAGTTTCGCAGAACGGAGCAATATTGGGCGAGGTCATAGTTTTCTGGTCTACAAGGAAAGAAAATCAAGAAGAAGTTATGGAATTACCTTGTGATATATTTACTTTTGGTACTGCGCCAGGCCTGCAAAAATGTTTGCAATCGAGCTAAATATTTGCCACTGATCGCGTTCATCAGTCTCGTCGAAACTGTCGCACAGGTTAAGGAGTTTCTTGGCTTCTGCGCCCTGACCAGACTGAAACAAGCCCTCATAGTAGGAAGTGGCATTATCGATGAGGTCGTAGCAATAGTCTCCTGCCAGTTCCCTATAGGCTCTACCAACAACTTCCATGAAATCAGAAAAGTCCACTTTGGCCTCTAGTGGAGCGCTGGATGCCCAACTGCCCACGATTACGTTAGGGTACAAAAGCTTAAGCCAAACTGCCATCGATGCAGAGTAGGAGCAACCTGAAACCACGACTTTGGAGTCTTTGTACTTGTCCTCCTTTTTCAGGACTTTGATAACATTCACCACATCGGCCAGAGCCTGTTTTACACTTTGATATTTGAGGTTCTTTGTTGACAAAGGCCTGATAATAAGAAAAGAGAAATTTCTTTTCTAGATCTAGAGATTTTGATAAATAAGAGCTTACTTAATCGGAATACTTTCACCGAAGAATCTGTGTTCAGTGTAGATCAGTGACCCGTTATGCTCCTTAGCAATGTCAACCCAAAGTCCTGAAGTAATGGCGCTAGGTTCGATCTTCCATTCACCGCCAAGGTATATGAAGATGGGAGAACCATCTACAAAGTTGTCTTCGTTGATCAAAACACGCTGAACAGATCAAAGTTGATTATTTGTATCCCTTTAAGGAACTAAAGAACTTACTTGGTTCCACACATTCTGGTTAGTATCGTTAAAGTTGTCAAGATTCTGGCTAAACAAACGAGTCTCAACATTTGCACGCTTGGTGCTTATCCGCACCGGTGGGCCACGGTGAAGTTGGTTGAACGTTTGAACAAATGCTGGAATTGCGATGTCATCTGAACCTGGAGAGTCCTTGAGAGTGGATGCAGATGCCAGGGGCACGAGCAGTGCCAGAACTACTAGGAAGTATTTCATTTTGTTAGATAGGTCGCAAGTTTGCGAATGGTTTCCTACCCCAATACATGGCCTATTTATTCAGAAAGAGCTGATGTCGGGGATCTGTTGAAGATAAGTTTTAATTAAAAAATAAATGCTTATACTTAGTCATTAGCCTCATTCATATATCACTGATAAGTACAATGGGTTTCACGTTCTTAATCGCATTGAATAGTACCGTGGCTCATTGTTCAAAACATTTTAGATTTATGGACAGGTTTTATCTTGTAATATCACTAGCTATTCGAATTCGCTATAATTGGAAAGTTAACGGATTTTTTTTTACTGTATATAATGGGTAAAACTGTTAGGTGAATATATTAAGATGACAACTTTATGGCAAGCGCTAATTGAGTTGGTCTATATGTTTACATACATAAAATGCAGAGAGAGAGAACACTTGAATTTTAAACAAATTCTTCTTATTCTATGTAAGCTTTGCTCTGCACTTCTGTCACGATGGAAAATATTCTTTTGCTGCTATAGCAGCATGGATCATCCGAAAATTCAGCAGCGAATGCATATGTAGAGGGCCTTGAGAAAACGTTATATATAAATAAAAATAAAAAAAAACTGATATAACTCTGACCTAAATGTGTGCAGCTAAAAGCAGATTCTGTTGCAAAAACAAAACCGACAAAAATATACATTTAAATAAGAAATCAAGTTGTCTAACAGCAATAAATATTTAATTCTTTATTTAAAATTGTAAATAAAACTTATACTGATTGCCAAGAAATCTAACTATATTATTTACTAGTACCACATGCAGATATGAATTAAGCAAAATCCTTAGCCAGCAATTGAGCAAAATGTATAGACTGAAACAATAACAGCAAAAGTCATTGAGGCTTCACATCAACTGTGCTGTGATTTAACCAATTTGCAATTTTCGCTCAAGAAAAACATTGAAAACGGTAACAACAACAGCGACAACGTGATCCAATAATAATAACTTTTCATAGCGGCGCGTTTGCCGTTAAGCGCCCCTGGCGTAGGGAGGTGTCGTATGCATATGGTTCAGGCCCATTGCACGCTCGTTATATGTGATGGAGCTACTTGGGCTTTAATAATTTAGCACGGCCTCTCCGATTATACGCAATCCTTTCGAAATGTACAGCACGTATTTGCCTGATATATTACTTTAGCCTTTCGATTATCAAGCACAATAAATAATATGTTTATTTAATTTTGTGTTTTATTATTGTTGTATACTAATCGAACAGTTAGTTGATGCAGTGGAAATGTTTTAGGCGTGGTCTCTTCAGTTGTTTTACCGCTGGGCATAGACACGAGATTGCGTATACGCCTCACAAGTGTCTGCAGCTTATATTGTTATCGACCAAGGACGGTCTTACTTATGTATGTACACCATTTATATTTTTTTATATATATATTTATATAAACAAATATATATGCAAAATATGAGAATGTAGCCGCAATTGATACTATTTATATATATATATATATATAAATTTGTTCAACCCATTAAAATGATCCCTATCGAAGTCAGTTAAAAATGTCTAGCATGTTATCTAATTTGGGGCTTGTACATCAAGTGACTAACACTTTTTAAGTGCTTAAGAATCGAATAACAACTAGTTGCATTGTGTTAATTGATTACTGAACAATAGCTAAAACAAACATGCTGTAAGTGCAGTTTGCTAATCAACAGAAATTGCTTTCTCCATTCCTTAGCTGAGCAAACAACCCACCCACATATAGCTACGTGAATGAATAATAACCTATATGCAGCATACACACAGAGACTGAGAGGTCGAAACACTTATCTCACTTACGTCCAAGTGTCACTCAATTTGTCTCTGTTTGCCCAGGACCGATGAGACGAACAAAGAACTGCCGCAACGCCTCAGAGAGGTTGCAGAGTAGAGGAATTTACAAAGTGACTCCCACGTGGACAACAAGTTATTTATTTAATAATGAATAAAGACGCTTCATGCCATCTAAATGGCTTCAAAGTGACGCCGCAGAAAAGACATGACACGCAGCTTGGCCAGATTCATGGGCACGCTATCCAGCACATTGATGCTGGCGAGGTCCTCTACATGTGAGTAACCTGCTCGGGGAAGAAGATTAATTAACGCTCTATTTACCCAGCTAATTGCTAGATGCTCGCCTGGTATAACCAGCGCCTGGTGGCCATTTTGACAGCCCAGCGCGCGCCATGGATCCAGTTCTCCATGCGTAAACAGCACTTGACGATACCGCAGACTGTGGTCGAAAGCGTCTCCACCAAATTCAGAATTCATCTGTACAATGCCCAAGGCAAGTGCGGCCGGGCTCTGTTCGGGCCCAAATGCATCACGACACAGCTGCTCAAAATACCACAAAGGCACTTCGTTGCCAAAGGACGAGCCGGTTGATGAGGTGCTAATGTTGCTGCTGCTGCTGGTAGTTGTATACCACCCAAATTGGCTGCACGTCTGATAGAACCAGGCGCGTGCTGGAAGCAACATTTGATTTGTTAACAAGTGAACCAAGTTTGTCGGTAGGCCGGGCACTTTTAGCCCACCGAATACTCTTCTTTCGCACATAGGATAGAGGAATTGTTAACTCTTATGCGAGTATCTAAATAAAGTATAAGCCGTCGAACTCAATTGACAGCAGAACAGTTGAATTGCTAATGGGCAGATAGTAGCAATAGGCATATCTGTGGAACATTGATCTGCGAAGTTAGCTGATATTGGCTATAAAACTGAGAAACATTCCACAAAAATATTTAAGGATCTTCAAAGTAACTCACTTCTGTCTTTCTAGCTCTAAACTGTTAGGAGGAAAATTTAATCCTGAAGTGTTAAATTCCATGCGGGAATTGAAGAGTGCTAATATACACATTTCTCTTTGTGGACGAGTATTAGTAATAATAACTATTAAAGGAAGGGGCTAATTTGCAAAGAAATCAGCAATAAGATAACGCTATTAATATAAGTCAGAATATTAAAATTGTGAAATTCTTAAAAAAGCCGAAACTTACTGCCCAAGCTCTGGTCAGAGGATTCGCTAAATAGCTGCAGCATGGACTTGTAGCTAAAGTCTTGACAGTCATATTCATTCCAACGTTGGTCAACTGAGTAAAGCAGCTCAAGAAAAGTTTGCAGGGCCTCCGCGTCGCTCGATTGGTGCAAGAGAAGCGTTTCACAAAGAGCTGGCAAGTAGGCACTGAGAGACAGTTTAGAAATTGCACAATTGAACTCGCGCATAGCTCCCAGCTCTCACCTATAACTCTGTGTGACCCAGGCAAAGTAGTTGTTGATGCCACTGAAGAAGGTGATACGATCGAGCCTGTCGCTTGCATTATATGTTGGGCACGCATTCAGTCTGCTGAGTAATTCATTTGTCTTATTCTCATTGAACAGCTTCACCAAGTGCTTAAAGCCCTGCTCTAACCGTTGCGTACAATTGGCACCATAACTGACAGTCAAAGAGTTTTCAACCATTTGCATGTATTCTGAAACAGAAAAGACTTTTTAAATATTTTTTGCAATTGAGGCAATGTTTTTGAAATAATTTGTTAAGTAAACAAATCTCGACTTACCATAAAAGTCCGCCTTGGCCAGCAGCGGAGCACTAGAGGCCCAAGCTGCAGTGACAAGCTCTGGGTATAGATGCGTCATCCAAGCTGCCATGCTACCAGAGTATGAGCCACCGATGAGTATAACTTTGGATTTTTTTAGATTGTCTGAGTGCGATTTTTGGTATTGTATGAAGTGAGCGACATCAGCCAGGGCCTGCTGCAGGCTTAAATATTTTAAATGCTTCACAGAAAGGCTGTTATTTCTAGAGCAATGAAATTTTTGGGTATGTAGTTTTATATAGCATTCAGATGGACTTACTCATACGGCCAGCTTTGGCCATAGTATCGATGCTCTGTGTAGAACAAAATTCCCCCATTTTCTACGGCCATATCATGTGTTAGACCCGTGCTGAGTAGACCAGGTGTAATGGTCCATTCGCCACCCAAAAATATGTATATGGGTCCTTGGGGCTTGTGGTATTTGGCATTGCGAAAATAACGCTGCATGTTAAGAAATATTTATTAGATAATACATTTATAGATATTTATAATGATAATTATAATAATACATTTATAGATATTTATAATGATAATTATTGTTTAATTGCTTACCATTTGCCAGGTTTCATTGTTGAGCCCATCAAAGTGATCAAGTTTTTGGCTGAGCCACAGTTCCTGTACTGGAGCAGCATCCTCTTTCGTGTAGGGTCCCGAACTGGGCTCCTGCAGCAGCAGTTCCAAATTGTGACGATACGGATTAAGAGCTTTCAGCTGGGCAGTCACAACGAAAGCGAATAACAATGTGAACACAAAGACGGGATAAGTGTAATTCATGTCGACGTAGGCAGCTCCATACTGAAGGTTTTCCACTTGACTGCTGAACGTTTTATAGCGTGCGTTCTGAATTATTGCCCCTATGATCAATGGTAGTGAATGCTAATTATTTGTTTATTGTAAATGCAAATTAATTATGAATTGTCAATTATTTGGGTTTTTAGAGTTGTTTGAAAAGTAAGTAATAAATTAAATGAAAATATGAAATATTCAGAGCAGATACTTTGCTCACAGAGCTGCAACAGAACTGAACTATATATGCGAAAAATCATATATATATATAAGAGCTATAAGAGCTACTTTAAGAGCTACCTGAATCGGTCTTGATCTGAAATATATCAAATCAGCGGAACCAAACCAGCTCGCACCCAATCTACCTAGTTACCAACAACAGGTGAAGGCTGAAGAGATAACAGCTCGTAGAGTAATCTAATGAACTGAAAATATTGTAGAATATAATAAAATGAGGAATAAATAAGTCTAAGCTTAAGAAGACTATTCTAGCTTACTGGCAAAATACGCTTTAGAGTCTAAGCTGCAACAAATTGTAAAAAAGAAGCTTATAAAAATATTCCGAGATTCAGTCTTTGAAACGGATGACAAATGTAAGTAAATTCCAAGCTTAAGTTCTCATTATTATTTTATAGTTCGGAGCAGATTTTATGATGTAAAAAAGTTTTTTGCTGTTACAATGAAAAGACAATAAAACTGAAGTCGAGATTTTACATAGTTATAAGGAAGCTGGCTTTTCACTCAAGAATTAGATGACTCCCAATAGAACCTTTAAGAATATAGCCGTTAAAAGTGCTAGGGCCCAAAAGACGAGTAAATCGAGGAAACTTTAAGGCTTTCTCTTGCGCTCTTGCTCTTCTGCTCAATCTGCTTCCACTCAGATTTGAGTGAAACGCCAACGCATTCTGGTAAAGGCAACGGCCAACCCCCGCATTCCGCTCGAGCTTTTTTGGCGGAGCGAATCAGCGCTACCCTTGAAACCGTGGGCGCTCATTTGAGGTACCCGGTTGGTAATCTATTGGGCATCTGGCCCAGCTAGTTGAGTCCAAGTGTGTTTTGCGTGGGCAGCAAATGGGGCGGGGCGGGTCGCAGCCGGCAATGAGTCATTTCGTGTTTAATTTTCCACTCAACGAATTGTTCTAAGCTGCTGGATAGCAGTATAAGATATCATTGGGCTATATTTATTTTATTAGCATATGTTTTTCCTCACCAGAATATAAGCGCTAAACTCTAAGTACACACCAAGACCTCAGCCTCCGGGCACTAATTAATATTTGTTGCTTTAATTAAAAGCATATTTAGTGCTTGCGTCTGTTAAAGCTAAGTACATTGATGATTGGACCATGACATGCATGCCAAGGACTTTGGCTGACTCCATTAAAAATGAATAGAATCTTAACCTTGAGCCTTGTGTTTCCATACTTAGATTTGGATCTAATGCTAATTAATATTCCATGCTCATCTGCTGCCCCAAACTGATTTAATTTCACTATAATTTTGCACTCGGTCCTCAGATTTTGTTCAGGTGAAACCTTGTGTGTAAAGTAATGGTAAAAGTAGATGAATATGAATACATTATAAATCATGTTACTTAATGACACAGATATGCTATGATTGAGACAATTTTTCAAAGTAAAGTAACTATATGAAACGCTAAATCGTCGAAATGTCTGTGAGCTATTGTGGCTTTGCATGGTTATAAGTAAAGGGTATCAGTCGCGGTAGCCACATGCCTGAAATCATATTGATGCAATAATGTTATACGATTTTCTAGCTAATTAAGTCGGGTAAGCTAATAATACAATTTTTTTCTTTGTTTAATTATAATTAAAACTTGTATAATTCTGAAAAGCACATCAGATTTAAGTATGCATTGAAAAGTTGCTCTTTCAAAAATCAAAAATCAAATGTCAACATAATTAAGCACACTCCTATGGGTACAAATTTTGAGTGAAATTGCAAATAAATTCATTTGAAATCAACCAATAAAATTAGAGAAATTTGTGTAGGCGATTAGGTGTGATTAGAAACATAATCAAGGTTTGAATTTCTTAGCAAATAAATTGCATTTATATATAACAACTTTATATGCCATGTATCCAGTTAGCTCAACAATATAATCCTTACATTATAATCTGTTGTTTAGCTACTCTGCCTAAATTCACTTTTCAGCAGTAATATTTTATTATATTATTATATTAAAAGTTTATTTTTTCATTAACAATGTTCCCAATTATTATGCTATGCCCTGAAAGTTTCAGAACTTTCAGCAACTTGTTGTAATATATGCTCGTGAGCACCAAAGCAACAAGAGAAACCACGAGTCAAAGAGCACGCTGCTCGCAACGCAGCTCAGACTCGACTCACTCAGGACGACATTTACGTAGGCGCTTGAGCTGGCACTCGGCTCGGATGTTCGTTTGAGTGGAAGGCAGCGCATAAAAGCCGCACGCAGAGCGCTCAATGCTTCAGTCGAGTTTGAAACTTACACTCAAGCGGAGTTGTAAATAGTTGTTCGAGTTTTTTGGCTCGTACTCAAACGTACTGTAACCAAATATTTGCCAAATCCACATACACATACACATACACACACACACTGTGCTGCAAATGAAACAAAAAAAATTGCAGTAAAAAAATAATTATTTATATAATTTTTTATATAAATAAACAAAATTGTTTTTCAAGTTGGCGCGTATTTCCCACTGGCGCGTTGTTATTTTTATGCCTGCGCTCGCTTCTGTGTGTGTATCTGTATATGTGCGTGCAAGTGTATGTGTGTGTGTGTGTGTGTAGCTTTGTAATAAAATATAGAACATAAATGTGGTGCCTTTTTTGCAGTGACAATGTAAACGTAAACTTGGTGTAACAAACTAAATCAAGCGACAAAAATTGACAACAAAAATATCAAATAGCCAGGTTTATGTGTTTTGGTTGTGCGTCTGTGTGTGTGATTGTGTGTGTTAAGGAATTGAATTGAAGAATATACGCTTTACACATTATTTACCTCAGCCTTAGAATCAGCCACAGTTCTAGCCTCGTTAGTGCTCAGCTTATTCATCTGCCGTATATGCCATTTGTGAATGAGTGTGTGGATGTGTATGTGTGCGTGTGTGTGTGTGTGTGTGTTGTTTGTGCTTTGAATAACAACACGCAGTTGCTGATTGTTGCCTGCTTTTGTGCGCGTTTACTGTTGCTATGCCTCTCATCTGACCCACACTCCAGTCCGCCCCTCGCTAAGGGCACCTGTTAAATTATGCATTAAGAAAACGTAAAAGCAGGCTCGCAAAACCTCTATACCGACGCGTTCCAAATTATATGAAGAGAGATGGAAAAATGCTGCGGAAATAAAGCTCAAACTTTCTCTGTCTGCTGCGGTTGTTTTTCTTACTGTTGTTGTTGTGGGCAGTCACTGCCTTGGTTGGTCGTATTTTATACTTACATATTATGCAAATGAACGTTTGCTTGTGATTTCGGCAGCTGACTCGGTTGCTATTTTTATACATTTTTCACGTTTGAAGGTAACCAAGAGTTATGACCCTAAAAACAGGACGCCTTACTTTAAGCTTGTTTTCATTTAATACTATGTGACAAGTTGCTGGCTAGCAGAGAGCACAAACCCAGTTCTAAGTTTTGATTTGCGATACGTCTAGCAGGAATCAGCTTCAACTAAATCGGCTATATCGATTTCTGTATAGTTTTCACAGTCCAACTCTGTCTCGCTGCTAGCTTGTTAAAGGCTTTCCCGGCGTTGTTGAGCCACATAGCTATTATATGAAAGAACTGTACAAATTTATGTGTTTATCTAAAGAAAACATTGTTTTTTTTTTTCATATTCAGCAGCAAATCTACAAATGGAAGTATATTAACATAGTTTCAACTAGGGAATTATTTTGCTTACTTGAATTCAAGAATATCAAGCCAAGAGCTTCTAACGCTCCAAGTGCCAAATAAGGGTTCTTTGGTTTGAGACATAGCTTTTGCTGTTTAATAATTGTTTTTCAAATATGAAGCTCATATTTATATATATATATATATATATCCGCGTTGATCCCTTAGCTAGTTGGGCAAGTTCGACCCACTATTTATTGAAACAATTTGTGCCGCTTTATTTGGCAACAGTTGGCCCAGCTTACATAACTCACTTAGTTTCCTGCTTTATGGCCCGTCTGCTTGTGCGTTACAATGCCCCTGTGACCCATCTTACTATTTAGCCGTGCGGGTTTGGTTAGAGTTTGCAGATGGCAAAAGACGTCTTAAAATATTTGGCTTTTTTGCGCCTCTGGTGTATTTAATTTGGTCGCAAATTGTGTTTCCCCCAGACGTTAAATGTCTTTCATTGGACTTGGAATTGTTTATCAAATCGTTTGCACACAACTTTCATTAGAGTATATTAAAGTATTCCGTTAGCGCTATATTGTGCCTGCTGTTGGTTTAGAAAGAACTGTGAAGCTTTTACGACTTTATTCCGATGAGTGCGCCCTGAAGGCATTTCTTGTCTTGAATTTATTATTTATTTATTTTGCGGGCGACCAACATTTTTGTATAAAGTGTGGAATGTTTGAATGAAGGAAATGATTTCGGCTATGAGAATGTGAGAAGGAAAATTGTTGAAACTTTGCAATTCAAAAATACGTGAAAGTCTGAGTGGATTAAAAAGATGTATAATTTGCAGGGATGGATTCATTCATTTAAAATGTTGGAGCCAATTTTTTAAGCATTTAATTGCACTTTCAATTGACATAGCAAATTTGTGGATTCTCTGTGTATCAAAGTGCTGACTTGACAAGGCAAGCGCAATCTATCTGGCTGCATCCCACGACATTAATTTTCATTAGAAGCTGAGCTAGACTCCCGCCCCTTCCTCTGCTCTGAGGCTTTGTCAACTTCAATTAGAAGAGTAAAAAGAGCTGTCAACTTGCCTTGACCAGACGGACCTACATCAACATTGGCAGCAAGAATGCCTGTGGTCCAAGGACAACCGAAATATTTTTTTTCTACTTTTTTGTTTGCCCATTCAAAAAGTCCACAAAAATGTCTGCACACCCATAAAAAAAAGCATTAAATGAGCCAGTTCTGTTGCTAAAAAAAAAGGAAACGGACTAATTAAAATGCTGGTGCTTGCTTCTTGTTTTTTGTTGATGTTTTTTATGTTTTGTTCAAGCTTTGCAAGTCTGTGGGATCGTAAAGTTTCTGTAAACTTTGTCTCCTTCTTTAAATAAAGTGAGCAAAAATTTCGCTAAATTTTTGATTGCCCCAAAAAGTATGCTAGCTTCGGGCTTGACTTTTGTGTAAAGTTGCCCGCTTGACTTAGCTTTGAAGCAAAACTCGAAACAAAAAAAGGGTTTAACTTGGCTATAATTAAAGGTCGACCCGTTATTACTTGCTCTTCTTTAACACCATTTCCTTTTGCAGCTGCTGCTGCCACGTATGTGCTTTGGATGCTCCAGAGAGCCATTAAAAGGCGCTCAAGTGTGGGGAGATACATATATATATAAAGGATTGTTCAACTTTTTGTACCATCAAAAAATGGTTGAACTTTGTTAAGCTGATTAGACTCAGGCTTTCTAGCATGTAAATGTCTCGGCACTCACATGAGCTTCGTGTTTTGGCTATATGACATTTAAATGATGTCCCTATATCGTGTGTTTACTGTAATATGCGCATACATTATGTGAGAATTTGCTGTGATGTTTTAAGGGCGGAATACATAATTTTTCTTGTTTGTTTTAGTTATACATTTATATTTTGTTTTGTTGTGTGTCTTACTTTATTTTATAAATTCTCACTTTATATTTAGCAAAAAACGAAAACATTTGTATATTTGTTTGGGCCTTCGTTAGGCTCTCCGTATGGGCAACCTTTTGCTTATTTTTATTTATTTTTCTTCAGACTGGTTCAGGGTTTCACATGCCTTGATTCTGGTCTGATCTCGCTAATAATTTATTAAAGTAAAATTTGTTTTATTTTTTATGAACTCTTTTAAATGCGTGCTCAGCTGCATTGGCTTGGTTGCTTCTAATTATTCTTCTAATTATTCTTGTGATTGTTGTAAATTTCAATGAAGCTTCGAAGTTTCTGAAGGGCTATCATGTGGCTTGATGTATCAAACAAAAAGTATTTTTAATTGAGACGCTGCACATGGCATCATGTGTAACTGTCAAATGCATTTTCTATGGCTAAAATAATAAATGAAACAACAATTTAATTCCCATGATTCCCCATCATTGTAAGCTATATTTTGATTAAAACTTGCGCTTTGTGTGACAGTTTGGAAATACTCGTTGCGAGCAGGAACAAAAAATCAATTAAAAATTTTAAATTGCATGCTAAATCGCGAGCTGTGACACACATGTTTCAATTGACTAATGTGAATTGTATTTGCTCTTCTCGTTACAGTGTAGAAAAATGTAAAAAGTCGACTTAAACATAATATTTGTTTGCCTGCAAATTCTTTTCGATTTTAAGTTTAAGCGAAAACGAAACTGAAGTATTTTAGAAAACGAAAACGAAAACGAAACCAAATGCAAACCAAATTCAACGGCTTATAGATTGCTATATAGTAGATAAAAATCGCGAGAAATAAGTACTTAGTATCGAAGCAACGTAACGAGCGTAAGTTTAGGAATAAAGCTAATTTCGGGTGCGTATAACTCCATTAGCAGACGATTAGCATAGCAAAGTAGTGAATGTAGAGCGACAGCAGGAAGCAGCAGTCCCAGCCCTAATTCAATCAGAGCCAACTGAAATAAGAGAGATAATAAAAAACACGTCCAACGAAAGTCCAAGCGAGAGTGACAGCCGTGACACGGAGCCAAACAAAATCGTTCCGCTGCTGGGGCTACCCACCCAACTTAAGTTCAAGACACGGCGGCCCAGCGCCCAAACGCAAACTAACTAGAAAACTTTGTCAAACACTCGAGTAAAGCAGCAGCAAACGTGCGCGTTTGAAAGTTTTTCTCTTTCTACAATTCGTGCAGATCTCAGAACTCAAACATAGATACGGCAACAGAGACACTCGGACAAACAGAGACAGCTAAAGAGAAAGCGAACGAGCAACTGCTTTAATTTCAACACGTTCACAGCAAAAGAAGCGCCGTAAGGAAAGAAAATCAGCTGCAAGATGTCCTCCTCCATGCCACTGACCATGGACCAACGACGTTTGAGTTGGCCAACATTTCTGCTCTCGCTCCTATTGCTCCAAGCAACTGCGAATGCCATCGACTTGAGTCGCTTGTATGGGCACATGGCCAACCCCATACAGAAGCGTAGCGGTAAGCGCACTCTTTTTTTTCTTATATTTATATGCATAATTCAAATAATTGCGTTATTAAGTATTGCAGCAAATGCAGAAAGTTGCGATAGTATTAAATTTTAAAATAATATTATTCTGTTTACCTAAATATTATATAAGCTTTTATTAAGTAAGCAAGCCTTGAGTTGAGAATTTATTGATTATTATTAGTGAAGAATTGATGAAGGTATAAGCACTTAGAAAGTCGACTGAATAACTATTTGACGTTCCTTTGAAATTATTTCCATTGACTTCTGGATCGGCATGGGGCTGGGAGCGACTCACAACGACTGATATATCATATAAAAGTTATCTATATTTAAATTTCATTCTATTCATTTTTAAAATTAGAAAGGTTGCATGCCATATATTATATTCTGTCAATAAGCTAAGGTGCTTCCATGCAATATACAATGCCTTGTATATCTCAATCAATACTGTATACGTAATACTCTTCAGCTCAGTTCATTTTATTGCTAATCCAACCTAGCCAAGCCTATAACAAAACATTTTGTTTCTGGCAAATATTGTGATTGAACTTTTGTTGGGCAAAAAAGGCATCAAAGCCTAAACAAACTTTTGCTTTTGCTATTGTGTTTATAAAAATTTAATCTAACTATTCCAACGAAGTCTGAGTTTTAGGTTGTGCAAAAACCTCAGGCTTTTGTCTAACACTGACACTAAGAGCTGCAGTCCATGCATTGTACAGGGTAACTTCAAGTCTTCTGTTTTACTCTCAACTATTTTAAGTACAGTTTATGCCAGGGCAACGAAATGTGCAAATGGGTTTGCATTTGCGTGCTCAAAATTTAAAAAACTTGGCGAGTTTTTCGCCTGAATTGTTCATTTGGCTCCATTTAAATTCTTTGTGAATATTTTTAATTACCCTCTGAGTATTGTTCGTGCTTATAGGTTGGAATTTCCTCATGTTTTTTCCCATATATGAGGAATTTTTTATTATATAATTAAATTAACACCAGTCGGTCGGTCGTTCTTAATAGCAATTTGAAGCAGGGAAGAGAAGTCTAATGGTTGGACGTGGACATGGCTTTGTCGTCATTGAAATACGCCTTTATAGAGATTTTTTAAAGATTTTATTATAGGTGAATAGCATGGAAATTGTGGTAAAAAATACGAATATTTTTACTTAATTAACTGCATGTCAAACTTATTTAATTATCAGGAAAGTTAATCAGTTGCAGCTGTCCCGTCATGTTTTATTCATTATTTCTTTTCCAAGTAATTCCATATTTTTGCTGTAACTGCCAAGGCAAAGGTTAAATGTTGAATAGCATGACAGCCGCTGCGATTGCAGTGGAGCATCATATTTTTTATTTAATACAAATATTTCACATTTCCGGCATGTCACTTGCAGCTACTTTAAAAGCTTTTTTTATTGAGAGTCTATGACAGGCAAATACAAAATATACTCTGTACAATATACAGTTTAAGGATATCAGTATTTTAGTGTTGTAAACTTTATGAAGACTGCGCTAGATCTACTAAGCAGCTATATAGCTGATCCGCAATATCTATAATATAAGACATCATCCATGGCTCTTTAAAAAAAGTATTACACTTCGACCTGCCAATTTCAGTAGATAAACATTTTTTTTTAAATATTTAGTTACAGAACTTAAACTGGAAAATAATTTGCATGAATAATTGAATAAGTTAAAATATTATGCCTCAATTTTGTTTTTGTCAGCTCAAGTATTATTTAAATTATTTTAGAATAAATTTGAGTGAAGTTTTCTTAACTGTATTGAAATTTAGTTTTTTTATTTTCATATAAATATTTATCGATTTATATATTTTTTCCTAATCACATTAATTAATTCTTAACAGTATTATTAAAGCTGGCTGTTTAAATGATCAACAAATGCTTTTTAATAGTGTGCCTGCCGGTTAAATAAATATTTAACGTGCCTCCCAACATAGAGTAATTATTTTTCAATTTCTGCAAAATATTTATATTAAACTAGATTTCAATTTGCATTAATTAAAAACTTTTGCTGACATCAGTGAATACTATTTGTTTTTCAATAATAAATATAAAACTCAATAAGCTGGGTAGTCTGCATTCAGGTAAAGTTTGCAGCTCTATTTCAGTTGAGCTTCAAGTGGCTGGTTTCTGTGCAACTGCTGAGTCAACAAACAGAGTGCAACTTCTAAGCTTATTGGACAGGCAACAAAACGGTGAAAGGACTTGGTTCTCTTTTCTTATCCCTTTCATTTTCCGGCTCCATGCTTTTCTCAAAGGTGTCCATCACGCGGCAGCTCCGCCATTCATTGTCGGTCGCTTTTGTGCTTTTGGCATTTGGCTTTGGTCGCCTTTATGACCGCCGTCGACTTGGAAATAATTTTTTGCCCCTGAACGCTGCCAGTTAATAATTGTGCACCGGGACGGAGCTGGTTGCAACAAAAGCGCAGGACATTACAAAGCATCGCCTGTCACTTAGAAAGGTTTTTTTCGCTTTCCCCCGACTCTTTTATACCTCGCTCGTTGAGCAATGGAGACGATTTAAGTGGTTGTGGCATGAACTGTGTGTGTGTATGAGTTGTGGTTGGCTGTCGGCATGTATGCGAGTGGCTGTGTGTGTAATTTAAGCGCGCTTGATTGAAAATAACTTAAAAAAGTTATTGAGTGGCATTTGAAGTGAAAGGGTAAACCACTTGAATCTGACTTTGAGCATGATACTCAATGAAAAAGGACTAATGGTTCAATAGCTTTTCGTCAGTTAATTTAATGAATATTAAACATAACTAACTAAACTAAGTGAACAAGAGTCGGGTGGTTAATTACATATATATATATATATATATATATATATATATGTATATATTGTGGATCTGATAACTTACAGGCGAATCAAGGTGACCCTTGAGAGTTATGCGCAATAAATATTTGCTTTCTATCGATTTATCTACATAAATAATGGCACTCAGGCAGGCGCGATTTAATTTGAGTGGGCTCAACACAGCATAAAAGATAGTAGTTAGAAGACGGAAGACAGTAGATAGATGATAAAAGACAGAAGACAGAAGACAAAAGACAGAAGACAAAAGACAGAAGACAGATGATAGAAGACAGATGACAGAATACAGAAGACAGAAGACAGATGATAGAAGACAGAAGGAAGAAGAGAGAAGACAGAAAAGTACTAAGAATCAAGCTTAATTTAGCCCAAACACACTTTGAACATTTAAAGCGCTTCAACTATGTGACTAGTTTATGCAGGGTTTACAAATCAAAGAGAGGTCAAGTGCTAATGCGTGAGCCGCAACAGACAAAATAGCAATAAATATGCCCCGGGGTCGTGAATGAAGTTCTAATGGCGGCTCAATCCTTTGACGCCGCTCACCTATGAGAAATCCATTAAAAGTTGTGCTGCACGAACTACGTTTACGCTTTCGCTTATTTATACTTAATGAGCCACGTAGCGAACAACTTGGCCAGCAACGTGGAAGACAAGAAAACCTCAAAATACAAAAAGAAAAGAACAAAAAGAAGTGGGCGGCGAGTGAAATTAATTTCGTAGCATTAGCACAAAAAGCTAACAGCAGTGAAAGTTCCAGTTGGCCAGGTTCTGTGCCCTGCCTCGAAGCACACAAATACGCATCCGAAAGTTTTTAATAAAATTAGAAGCTTGGCGTACAAGCGCGAGCCCGAAACAGGAGCAACCAGAAAACTAATAAAGTTGATGGTTATTACGACTCAGGCAGGAAATTGCAGCTCAGCAGAGCTCCCAGTGCAAAATGGTTGCCATAATGCGAGCGTAATCACGATTTTGGTTGGCATTTTCGGGCACTCTGTTGTTTCTCGTGGCCAGCATTGCTGCCATCCACGGAGAATATGCTCGTGTGCATATATTTTTGTGGCATGCGACTGCAGCTGCGCTTGCAAACCATCACGTATATGGCCAAATGAGCTTGAATGGCAGCACGAAATGCTGCAGCCCAATATTTCCCTCAACGGGAGGGCACTGGCAGGTCGCGTTTGAAAATGTTTTATTTGCATTCGCTTATGCATTTGCATGTGTGGCACGCTCCAGCGAACGCCTCTGAGTATGCTACGTTTTGTTTGCCATTTGTTGCCGCTTTGGTTTTCCAAGTGCACTCGAGTGGCAATGCACGCACTCACACACACCCACACCCATGCACCTAATAACATGCTCAAGTTACAATCATACCAATTCACAATGAACTGAAACTGCTGCCTACCTCTGCTCTCTGCTCTCCACTATGCCCTCAATGGCTGTAACATATATTAAAGCCTGCATAATTAAAAACGTAATTTCCACGCAATTTATGATGCGACTACTTGACAAGCTGCCATATGCGATGTACCACTAAGTGAATTAGACGGTAAACATATATTTTTTGCATGCGTGAATCGAGCAGTCCTAAAGAGCTAATGAAATTGCGCGACCTGAATGCAAACAGTTAACCAAGCTGTTCATATCAATTCTTATATCTAAACAAAGCACTTTGCTTTGCTAGTTTAAGGCAAATGTAGATAAGGCTACAGTAATTGCATAAAATATTTATAATGTGTTAGGATGAGCTTGGAAGTGTGCTGGAATGAAATTACAATTGACAATGATGAAGATTGTCTTCATTCCAGATAGTTTTGAATACTGAAAACTGTTTCTAAATTATAATAATATATATTTATTTAATTGAATTTCCAGCTATTTTTATTTGTTGCTTCGTTCAAGCTTCAAGTTCCTTCAAGTTCCTCAAGCTTCTATTGCCATTTACTTACTTAGAATCATATACTATTCAGTGCAATACAGCTCAGGTTTTCGATGAGGAAAAGCTGTCGCAACTAAATATCTTATGGAATATAGCTGCTGCCCTCAAAATCTTTTTGAATGGCATTTCAAATTGATATGCCAAACAATAATGCCATAGATCAGGCTCCAGTCAGTCAGAGACACAAATACACTTAAGCAAACTTTAATTCACAATGTAAGC